CGGATTTTGCCCAGGATCCCAACCCACGTCTGCGATGGACGTCTTTACGCCACTGGGAACGACCAGGAGAAGGGCTTCGATCCGAGCCAGGCTGGCTCCAAAAAGGGGGCCCACGGAGCCACGGAGAGGGCAGGGCCAGGCTGGGGGATGGGTTTATAGCACAATATGACTGGTTGGTGGTTTGGAAAATGGAGGTTTTAATGGGAAAACCATGGGAAAACCATAGGAAAACCATAGGAAAATGGAGGTTTACCCAATAGTTGGGATGATGATCCAATCTGACGAACTCATTTTTTATTTTCCATAATACCCTCTGGTAAACGTTTACATAGCGAACTGGAAAATCACCATGCGGACCATGCTATTAATGGGAAAATCCACTATTTCGACTGGGCCATTTTCAATAGCTATGTTAGTTTACCAGAGGGTATATGGGATAATCCTTCCTATTGACTCATATTTTTCAGAGGGGTTGAAACCACCAACCAGTTTTGTTAAACCATACCCTTTGGATCCCTTTGCTAATTTACCATAGCGAACTGGACTCGATTTTGACAGTCCATGGTTTAGCTATGTTAAATTAGCAGAGGGTAACAAAGTACAATGGGAATTACTATATAAGTACATTGGTGATTGGTTTAAACTATGTTAAATGGTCCAAATTTCCATAGATATTGTTATCATTAAGAGAAACAATGGTGAAGTTAACCAATCAAGATATTGACATGATGCACGAATCAAACATACAAGTTGACACGAATCAGCCATGATACAATTAGTAGATAAATAGGGGGGTGTCATCGGCCACAGTCTGGAATGATTAAAAGATATTGGATTGGATATAATTCCATCCCCCATTCATATTTATGGGGGTTAGACCATCAAAAGTCGGGGGGTACTGTATCTGTTTACTATTCTTGAAATGGGAATAATATATCTACATGGACACACATGCATAGATATATATATATATGTAACTATAGCGAATATGATATTACCCCCAATAAGGCACCACAAAATACAGAGATCCACTGGGCTTTCGATTGGGTGGTGTGGTATATGCGGGGCAACGGATTCTGACCCCTTTTTTTGGTGCACAGTTCATGGTTTGTCCTAAAGCTCCTGACAATCCATGCAATTGGGGGTTGGATATCTATGAAATCTGTTTCAGGAGCCAAAAAAATACCAAACAAAAATGCCCAAAATATAGTCTTCTGTCCGTTTCTTGGGGCATTTACCTTGAAACATCTCCAAATGTTTTAGCAAGTGTATATAGACTGAGCACGGAGCATATGGGTATGGGACCATCGTTCGATGAGGAGACGTTCATCCAGCGATGCAATTTGTTGTGTTGAACTTGAGTCAAAGTTGAAGGATACAATTCAGCCACTAGTTCAATTTCAGTACTCAAGGTTTCAACTTGTTTTCTGGCAATCAAACATGGCTTGCTTGAGATCTTCCATTTACAGATGCTTTTCCCAGCTAGAAACCTGCGAAATCTTCAGCATTTAGTTCCGGGATGTCCCTGCCATGTTTGAAAAAAGCGGACGACACAAGTTCTTTTTCGACAGCGAGTGGCTGATCAAGTTTTAGGGTCTGAACTCAGCCCTCAATTGGACCTATTAGGAATATCGACCATTGCTGCCATATTGAAGATTTAGTAGGCTTATTGTATTATGGGAGGTTATTATTGCCCATTATTGTCTTATCAATATCCCCAGTATTATCCCATTACTAGTCCCATTAGTATTTATAACCCACCCCATTTTTTGGTTACCTTACAGTAAACTAACTTAGCTATGGAAAATCACTTCTTGCATAGGTAAATCATCCATTAAATCGACCATTTTCCAGAGTTGTGTGAAATTACCAGTTAAATCTTCCATTTGAACCCCATCTTCTTCGCATTTTTGATCGCTTTTTATCGCACCGTTGAGGTGGCCGATTGTGGCTTAGGGAAGGAGCGTGACCGGGGGCGGTTTGTGAATGACCGCACTGGAATGATGGTCAGGATTCAGGGAATAATTCACCAGTGTGTATATATATAATATACATACCCATGATACAGTATACATACATATATGCAATGTACTGTAATGTAATGTAATGAAATGTATGTATGTACGTATGTACGTACGTACGTATGTGTGTATGTATGTATGTATGTGTGTATCTATGTGTGTATGTATATGTGTATATAATTATATATATATATATGATTTATATATGAATATATATATATATATATATATTGCTTATATATTTATACATATATGTATTTATATGCATATGTATATATATATATATACATGTACATGCTGCCTTTGTATACATATATCCAGAACCTGTTTTTTGGTTGTAGCACAAAAGACAGTTCTTTTTTAATGATTATATATATATATATCCAAAATCTGTCCTGTTTACCATGTTAGATAACTCTTCATGGAAGGACTTCAATCCTGTTGATCATCTCACCCTGTCAAACTTGCCCCATCCCTTTTCCACACTGTTTTCACAGGTTTTGCATCCTTCCATGCCTTGTAACACGTCATAAGGTGTCTTTGCAGCATCCTCAGCCATACTCAATAGCGTCCATGTAAATGGTGTGCCAGATATCATGATTTGCATGGCTCTTTGGAAACATAGATATAAATGCGGTCGGCCCTGACCAAACATCTTGGTTGCTAGGTACGTTTAGGTTTGCAAAAATGCATTTCTTGTGAACACACACACAATTTATACATACACATACAGATATATCATTGATATATATATATATAGAGATATGTTGTGTGTGTGCATTCATATGTGTACATATATATATATACACAATACATATATATATATTATACACAGACATAATGTATTTATACACATTATTGTGCGCATATATAATGTAATGTAATGTAATGGAATGGAATGGAATGGAATGTAATGTAATATAATGTAATGTATTGTATTGTAATGTAATGTATGTATGTATGTATGTAATGTATGTAATGTATGTAATGTATGGAATGTATGTAATGTATGTATGTATGTATGTATGTAATGTATGTAATGTAATGTAATGTAATGTAATGTAATGTAATGTAATGTAATGTAATGTAATGTAATGTAATGTATGTATGTATGTATGTAATGTATGTAATGTATGTAATGTATGTAATGTATGTAATATATGTAATGTAATGTAATGTAATGTAATGTAATGTAATGTAATGTAATGTAATGTAATGTAATGTAATGTAATGTAATGTAATGTAATGTAATGTAATGTAATGTATGTAATGTAATGTAATGTAATGTAATGTAATGTAATGTAATGTAATGTAATGTAATGTAATGGTATGTATGTATGTATGTATGTATGTATGTATGTATGTATGTATATGCATATATATATATATATTTGTCTGCAAGAGAACTGTAAAAGTGGGGGACATCACTGTCATTTAGTGGGACAGTTCTTCTGATCATCTATAATTTATCATTGGCTGCCTTGTTACCACCAAACAAACAAGCTGAAATGGTGGACATGTTTTAGATGTTTTGTTCGTTGGCGTGCTGTAGTGGCAAAGATGATGTTGTTCCTGACAGCTACAGGGAAAAAACCGTTCGGTGGGGCCCCTGTTTATGTTGCTGCACCTCCAGACCCAATGGTGAATGGAGGCCAGTTGGAGCCGCGAGTTCCCAACCACATGATGGCATATGATGTGGCTGCTACTGTACTCAGTACGGAAAAGTGGCGGAGCTTTCCCAAAAACAAGACGTGACATGAACACTAATGTTAGTAAAGCAATGTCGTAAACGATCCATATTTTGATGGTTTATAGCATTGATGTATGGTCAGTTTGGGGCTTTGCTATTGATTTACCAACATTACTTTTTCAAAGTGCCTTTGACCCTGATATCTTCTGAATGTAGGCCGGCTGTAGCTTCACAGGAGGATCCCTGCCTGTGCCTGACCTTGAAAGATTGCGAGTGGCAGCCCGGCTTAGGTGCGGGCCATGAATTGAGCAAATGAACGAATGTCATTCATATGGGTAAAACAATGCCATAAACCACCCCTTTGGGAATGGTAAACATACAACCTATTTATGATGGCTTATACCACCTATGAAAAACGGTGATTTGGGGATGGTTTATGGCATTGTTTTACCCACATGAACCAACATGACTTGGAGCAGTGTGAAACCAACTCCCTGTTGGTTTATGAGTTCGGGGATTACGGTATTACGAACCAATACATTGGGAGAATTTCTTTCACCACCCGCAGCACCCGCAATGCCGTTCTCCACGGACACAGGTGATCTACCGGGTGGCTGTGCTGCCACCGCAAATCCGGGTGTTACGTGCCAGGCGACAGGGCGTCTTCGGGCCATTTTTGGACTTTTTCGGTGAACCAAATGCTCCCCTCCTGTAGTTTAATACTACTGAATATTTCATATATATATATATATATTTATATAATATATATATATACATATTTATAGATATGGAAAATGGATCAACATGGCCCATTCATTTCGATGGTTTGCCTGAAAAAGATGGTGATGTCCATAAGAGCTGGTGAATCCGAAAGAAAACTTCGTAAAGCTCCAAGAAATGGTAAAGAAAGCTGGTTGATGCTGGTTAATGATCAAAGAATATTAAAGAAGCTGAACTGTTGAACTGGTTTCATGTTGCGTTTTTTTTTTCTGGGAACTTTGTCAACCATCCAGTAGAAGTACACATGCGTATGTTGGTGTTGCATGGTGTTGCAATGATTGTCGATGTTCCACATAGATAAATGATGATGATGATGATGATGATGATGACGACGACGACGACGACGCCGCCGACGCGACGACGACCACGAGGACGAGGACGAGGACGACACACACACACACACATATATATATATTCAATGCTTAGGGGCCTGCTTTGCTCAAAACGATCACCTGACCTGCCAGGCGTGTCCCTTCCAAGACAAATGCCGCGAGCCTACGCAATCGGAAATGTGCCGCCTCGCCAGCACCGACGCCTGGCACCAGAGAGATGACATCATTCACAAGAAACCTGTGGCACCACCGTGGAGTGTTGGGTTTTCTCCACACATAGGATCCAAAATCATCCAGATGGAGCTTTCCTAAGTCATGGGGGCTACCCCTAACTCCATGTTGATATAGGATGTTCCATTAAAAACCATCCAGCTATTGCAAGGTCCCCCATTTATGGAAACCCCCAAGTCCAAGGGCTGCGATTGTGCCTTTACCAAAGCCACCAGCAACGGCTATGGCTGTGCTTGGCTTTCCGGTACTTGCGTGCCTCGGTAGCTTCCAGGGAGTGGGATAAAAATTCGCCCTGGAAGGGGCATCCAGGATCATCAGAACCCCTTCTTTATTGATGGTTGCTGAAAATTTCACCAACCATTTGAAAAATATTAGTCAGTTGGGATAATTATTCCCAATATATGGAAAAATAAAACATGTTCCAAGCCACCAACCAGTATAAGTTGGTGTATAACCTCATCTACCCTCTGGTAAACTATGATAGCTATGGAAAATCATAATTTTTGATTGGTAAGTCAACTATAAATGGGCCATTTTCAATAGCTATGTTAAATTACCAGAGGGTATCCTCCACAATCAGAAAATTGGAACATCTGCAATTTACAAACTGAAAACTGTTGGTGCTTCAATCGGTCTTGATGCTTTTCGTTTTATTCATCCATCAACAGTCTTCATAGGTGTCCGAATATTCCATTCCTGTCTCAAAAGATGGAGCTTTGTGTCCCATAGATGGTTTCATTCAAGGATCCATTTTAACATTCTCTCTCAATGAAGCGGTGAATGCTTGATCTCAATATGGTTTTGTCTGAGAATTTTGGTAAGACCCCAAATCCATTGGTTAATCATCATTTTCCCTGCCAACAATGGCACGAAAATGGTGGGATCCACACCCAATCACAGAAGTAGTTGAAATGCCCATGAGTCCATGGTAAATTTCCATTTTCAGACACACACTGAAGGCGTCAAGTCATATCCATATCGAGTATGATTGGTGAAATCCCATGGATGGTGTTTTACCAACATTCTGACGTGGCTCCACGATTCATATATCCCATGAATATACTGGTATCATGAATGTCCTATCAATATTAATCTGGTTGGTGGTTTGGAACATGAATTTTATTTTCCATGTCATATATGGGATGTCATCCTTCCCATTGACGAAGTCCATGATTTTTCAAGATGGGCACGGCTTGCACCAGCAGTTAATATTATTCATTAGATCAGGTATTAATCACTAATAACCATGGTTAAAACCACTATTCATCACTATTAACCATGGTCATTGCACCACCAAGCAGTTCATATCCGATCCATCAATATCCCCCGTTTTTGTTGCTTCTGGATGGAAATTTTCTCCAGCCATAGTTCGATCATTTTCCTATAGCTAGAAACCTCCATGGCTAGTTCGGGGATTTTCCTAGCCAGCCACGTTTGGTTGCCAGGGTATCCCATTAAATATCCCATTAAGTATCCCATGATTATCCATTTGTTTATCAATGATTAAATATCATCAATCATCATTATCTCTGATTAATATTGATTAATTACTATGCTATTAAAATTAATTATTTGCCATTGTGAACTCTTACTAATCATCAGCATCTCTGATCAATATGTTACTAAATTTAGTTGAGAAAATGCGCTGGCGGGTAAACCGTCCATCTTCAGGGTCCCTTCGCGCGCCCCAAGGTCTCCCGTTCCACGGCAGACTCTGCTGCCACATCCTGCGATGCTTGCCCCACGCAAGTGAGGTGGGGCCCTGAGTTGACCATGGAGTCCCCGAGTTTTACTAGCAAAAATAGGATAAAAATGGATAACATAGGAAACTCATCAGCAAAAGAATAGGGATTAAGATAGGAATTAAGCCAGCAAAACTGTGGATTAAAATGATTACTTAAGCAGCAAAAATGGGGAGTTGAAGCAACTTGAACATGTTTCTTAACCTAAACTCCCAAGAATTGGATTAGGACGATGATGTGAGATTTCAAGGATATAATCAGGACAATTATATAATTATTTCAATTTGGAAGCTCTCCAACAAACACGATTTGTTTTCCTGAGCACATGTAGTTTGTCAATGATCATGGGCAGTGCGGCAGATTTCACCAAGAACGATCGTGGATGTGGTGTAACTTCCGACGACAGAAGTGGGAATGTATGGATCCTTAGACGGTATGCAAGCAGAATATGACTGGTTGGTGGTTTCAAACATGTTTTATTTTCCATTTCATATATGGGATGTCATCCTTCCCATTGACGAAGTCCATGATTTTTCAAGATGGGCACTGCTTGCACCACCAACCAGATGATCATTGAGCCATTAGTTTGGGGATGGACACCAGTAATGTTGATCATGGACCAAAAAGAATCAACCGCGCAGTTTCTTCAAGAATCCCACCAATTCCTAGCTTCAAAAAACGTGTCCTCCCACTTCAACCCACACCCAACATGTTCCGCAAATGGTATCCAAGTGAAGATGGCTGGGTGTGTTGGCCCGATAAAAAGGCCTATTGTTAGGTCCGGCAACAACCTTTACTCTCTGGAATTTAACCATTGAAATATATAAACATGAGGATTCAGAGATAAAAACAAGTGAGGATTTGAAGGAATGGGATTTACCCTCTGGATCCCTCTGGTAATTTCGTACACTGCCAACTAAAGGAACCATTTCCTATAGGCATGTTGAACTGCCGGAGGGTATTGGCGGTGCACTCACTCTTAGCTAAAACAACTTACAGCAATTTTGCTGAGGTCGAAGACCTTAGTAGCAGGGGATGCAGGGTGCTTATCACTAAGATCAATCTCCTTGTGTGTCAGCACTGCTATACTGTTTATCTTGGGTTGTCACCTCAACGAGCTTCTAGTGCAATGGTCCTAGTGTCCTGCCAGTCGGACAGTTTGAATATCGTTCCATGGTCAAAACATGTTTGTTTTTTCTATAAAGGAGGATGGTCATCCCCCATTGCAAGGGGCTATGACCATTCCAAGGAACATTCATGATGGTATGAACATAATCCATCTAGTTGCCTTATTTTACTATGGTTCCCTTTCTGATCCTTTGTGTAAATATATAGAATTATAGAATAATCCACAAACATATTGAATAGTGAACTCCTACTAAAATAGCAATAAATGACATGTCTATCTTTTTCGGCCTTACTACAAAACAATAATATTATACCATATATACATATATATATATATATGGGTATGGGTCAAAATTAGGTACCCCAATAATTGGATGGTTAATACTAAACTAGACTAACATCTGTGGTCCCCTAGGTCTTCCATTTTGACCCACATCCATATATATACATATAGAATTATATATATATATAGATATACAGAATGTGCGAATGTCACAGTCCCAAAAAGTCCTGAGGTGTGGCACACCAGTGCTATACACCATCACACCGAAACTTGGCGCATTTTAAAAATGCCAACGGACTGGAAAATCACCAGCCAAGCAGCAAAAGTCACTGATGTCTTGTGGACCAAAGGTTGATCATGCCAAGAAAATGCTGATATAATATGGGAATATCAATGAATATCATATATATATATATAATGAATGAATATCATATATAACCATGTAAGATTTTGGGGATAAAGGAATATCATGGGGATGAACACACCATGAGAATGTAACAGAGATACAATTCGATATTGAAAAGAAACCTTCGGTGTCATCAAACACTACCCGGTAATTTCCCTATACATAGATGGAGCTTTCAATAGGAAATCATCGAAGTAACAGCAAGCCACGTTTGATTACCAGAGATATAGCGGTTGATCGACAGCCGCAATTGGAATCTCATCGGCATTCGAAGCAGGGGATTTTGACCATGACAGCGGGGTGTTTTTCAGTGGCGACACTGGTAAAGAACGGAGAACTCATGAACTGTTGATGGTGTTTGGTGCTGACTCCCGGAAGAAACCCAGCAATTTATATACCCGGTATGGCCATTTTTCACCATCGATGGAGATTTAGCCGAAAACAAATGATTTTATGGGAGATTCATGGGGTAAACTGCCTCTGGCAATTTGTTACATAACTATGGAACATCATCATTTCTAATGAGTAAAGCGTTTCTTAGTGAATGGGCCATCGCTTCCCCAATGGCACTCCAGGGTTGGCGCCATGTTAGTTTCCTGGAGGGTTGGCGCCATTTGATGTCATGTCCATTCCATATGCAAAAATTGAATTTGTGTAGATGAGTGGGTAGATGCACACTCGGAAGGAAGCTCCTTTGGATATATCAATGGCAGAACATATTGCCCATTTACTGCAATTCAATGGATTTTTTGCTTGCCTTAAGATGGCTTAACTGGTAATTCAACATGGCTGGAAGATCCGCCATTTAGTTTGGCCATTTTCCCATGAACACCTCCTTTGATAGTGGATTTCCCATAGTTTTCCGATATTTTCCCATAGTTTTCCGATATTTTCCCATGGTTTTCCGATATTTTCCCATGGTTTTCCGATATTTTCCCATGGTTTTCCGATATTTTCCCATGATTTTCCTATTTTCCCATAGTTTTCCGATATTTTCCCATGGTTTAGCTGGGCATTTCCCAGCTCCCGATGTTTGATCGCCATCCAAGGAACGCAGGAACGCTGATGGGTGAAATGGGCGTTTGGTCCCTTCAGGTGCGGGTGTTCTCACGGGATGCCAATGCGCGAAAATGAAGTTTATGGGACGCAAACCATAACCCATGCATCACTATAATTTATACACTGTGGTAAACTAACATAGCCATGGAAAATCACCATGCTATTAATGGGAAAAACCATCTATAAATGTGGTATTTTCAATAGCTATGTTAAATTACCAGAGGGGTTTGTAATTAGTAAATACTATTTGAAGTTTTTATGCAATTTTTTTGCTTCAAATCAGGCAAATTTGAAATGCTTGGTTGATAAATGGTAACAGTTCTGGCTCTGATGCATCATGTGAGCATTTAGCCCAGGTCATACCGCAAAGTAGCCGAACATGTTTCGCGGTGGAACGTTCATGGTACCCTTTGGTAACATGCCGATGTCCACTGTTAGGTCAACCAGATACCAGTGGATGCCTTTCCATTTCCACGTGGTGGTTTCTTAAAATGTGGGATCCCCAAGTTACCATAGGTTTCAATACTAAAATGGTCAAATGACTGGATGATTTGGGGGTAGCCCCATGACTTAGGAACTCCATATCTGGTTGGTGGTTTCAAACATTTTTTATTTTCCATAATATATGAGATAATCCTTCCCATTGACGAACTCATATTTTTCAAGATGCTTAAAACCACCAACCAGATATATTCTTACTGTATATGTTTCAGTGCCAGATCAACTTGTTGGTAACCTTCCACTGGTTTCCACCAGGAACGAGCCTGTGATTTTCTCATGCCCATGTGGGATTAAGTCAAATCCCATAGCCGATACTGTATACATTTGGTTGAGTTTTGCAGTAAAACGTAGGTACACCGTATAAATGGATGGTTTGTTTTTTTTTTGCTGGGAAAAAAACACCACCAAATCGGATAATTAATATGAGGTTATTCACTAATGAACTATACCAATGGTATTCACCTAATAGTACCTAATTTCTGATATTACTGGGACAAATCACAATCTCACGGTTGGTTTCCTGATCATATTGGCGAAGGTCTTCTTTGACCGCGACATTTACACACAGTTCAAGGCTGGGACGATGGCTGGATCTGTCTCAAAATGGGACACCACATTAAACTCACAGAGAACATGATAATAAACTGTTGACAGATTCTGACAAACCATGGGAACATGATGATAAGCCATGGGAACATGATGATTACACCATGTTAAAATTATGATAAACATTGATAACACGATGATAATCATTGATAAAGCCATGATTTTTAGTCGTGCATAATATGATTTTGAGACAGACTTCAATGATCGAAGAATGTCTGGTGTGGCGACATTTCTTGGTGCCATGTTTCCTCATTTGGGATGATCGAAGATCTGGAAGAATGGCTTTCTCTGAGAATGTTGGGGCCCAAAAGCCCATGGTTACAGTATGGCCCATCAGTTATCATCATTTTCCCAGGAAATGACCATAACTTGAGGTAACAACACACCAAATTCAGATCCACCTTTTTTTTTTCAGGGTGGTTTCCCACCTACCAGATACAATGAGCGCAGTTTCAGATGGCTACAGTGCGAAAAAGGTTAAAAATGTGCCTGCATCCCTTCGAAAAAGTGGCATGATGAACATTGGCAAATGGATATACAGATATTAAACAGATATTATTATATTGTACAGATATTATACAGATATCATCAGGTACAGAGTAGTACAGTGGATATGACATCTCCAATTTTTCTTCTTCAAGCCCCATGACTGGGTCCAACCTCCCAGGTGGACGACACCGGCATCGCAATGAGATGTAACACCTGGGAACCCACTGGGGGAACCGTGTATCGCCTGGGTCCTTTGCCGAAGGTCGTGTTGGAATCACGGGAATTTCGCGTTTTTCGCCTCCATCTGACCCCCAGAAAGCCTGGTTTAGTAGGGAATTTACCCTCTGGTAAACTAACATAGCTATGGAAAATCACCATTTTTAATGGGACAATTCACTACAAATGGTCATTTTCAATAGCTATGTTAAATTACCAGAGGGTACACATCTTAACCATATTATTTGGAACCATTTAGGGGGTGATTTGTTAGGGGGATGGTTGAGACGAGCACCCCAATGATCAGGAATTGCTAAGAGATTTAGAGGAGCCGCACTTTTTGAGAGAGCCCCATATCATATAAAGTTGATTAATGTATTGTCTATTAATGTTATATGTATATAGTTATACTGTAATTAGTTATACATAGTTATGTATACATACTTATATACATATACACCCGTTAAATCATCATTAAATCCTCATTAAATTCCTAAATACACTCATTTTTTATGGTCATATCTATACTTCACTGGAAAAACACACATTAAATCCCCACTAAATCCCGTATTTGTTTTTCTTCGTTGCAGAGATCCCGATCTTTTTCTCCACGGTGAGGGGCACGAGATTCACGAGATGGTTGGTGCCCCTGTTGATTCAGACATTTAGCAGCCATTTAACCATCAACAAATGGAGAGTTCGACAAAAAACATGCTGGTTTAACAATCAAAACTGGTGATCTAACCATCAAAAATGTGGAGTTAACATGATCTAATATGATTTAATAATCATTTAGCCTCAAACAAATGATGAAATGATGATTTAATGGGAGATTCGGAGTTTCATGATCTTTAGCCTCTGGCAATTTTTTACATAACGGTGGAAAATCATCATGAATCATTTCCAATAGGTAAATCATCGAACCAAACTGGCCATGACTGTCATATCTATTTTAAATTTCCGAAGGGTAATTGGCGGATCATTCTTGATGTGTTGCTGCATGTTTTACTCCCACTTCACATGGCTTTTGGTTCTACCGTGACTTGAATGGTTAAGATACTGTGGAAGAAATCCTGCACCAGTTGGTAGATGGTCTATCCCGGTTATCCCACTATAATCCCATTATTCACAGTGTTTCATAGTTGCCTAATAGTTACCGGTGCAGGATTTCCCTCAGAATGTATAGATCCTTCTGAACCAGCCACCAATCCCTATCTTATCCATGGTATCCATGGTCCTATTTTCTTTTAAACATCCAGCTTAGTGATCAGCATGTAATTTGGAATTCAGCATTGTGCGCGACTCGGGATCTCCGGAAATCAACGAAACTGGATCCAAGACATCCAAGGATCGCACAAATTGGCAGTGCGGAACAACATCCTGGAGATCGATTTAAGGAATGTGGTCAGCAATAAAAGGAGCGGCTGAAAAGGGATAGGATGGGCTACCTTGAAACTGGACGAAACTGGCACATGGCGTCCAAAAAGGGCGTGAAACTGTGAGCCATTTAAGCGATTCCTGCTGAAAGCAGTGCAACTACATATATATATAATTATATATATATATATTTGTTGTTCTATCATCAGAGTTCTTCAGCATGTCAAGGGATTGCACAGAATCTTCCGCAGTAAGAGGCAGTGGTAGCTGGCAGTTGATATTGGCTGCAAGCAACAAGCTACCATACTTCAAAAAAAACGGTATAGTCTAGTATATGATATGATACCATGAAGAATCCTGTGGTTTATCATCATCATTTTCCCTATTAAAATAGCTATAACTTGGGGTATACCATATTTTCAGGTCCGCACCCAACAAATTTCAGGTGTTTACCCAAGATCAAACCTGACTGCTTGCGGCGACTACTTGCCATGGCAAGGTGGGACCATGAAAGGTACACGTCGTCTTTGATATATCATTATGGTCAAAAACCCTGATGGTGGGGCTCATCCTCCCAACATACTATGTAATATATTATTTATAATATAATTAATAGATTTTAATCCCCATATCTCAAATTCTGGATGAAACGCTTCTGCGGGAAATAGCTGCGTCCTTTAATTCGGGATGGTACGGGGTAATTCTCCGGCAGAAGCATCGTAGGGTGGCGCCCGGGGAAATCTCGTTTCAATGGTATACTGTACCCACTGGGAATTTCATAGGTACCCTCTGGTTATTTAACAGTTTGCCATGGTATAGATGGCCCATAGAAATAGATGGTTTACCTATTAAAAATGGTGATTTTCCATGGCTATGTGAAATAACCAGAGGGTACATCATCCAAAAATTCAAACAAACATATGGAGGACATGGTTTTTTGAAAACTAAAAATATGGAATGTAAAAAGAAAAACACTTGGCAGAAAGACATCTTCTGGAACCTTTGGGATGGAATGGGGTTGCAGCAGAGACGGCCCAGTGCAGGAAGACCTGTGTGTTGAGCATCGCGGCCAATGTCCTAAGATCCGTTTCCTGGTTGAAGCGGGAGGCGCTTTGCAATGTATTCAGTCCCAGAATCGCCCATTCATGTAAGCAAGTCAAATGATGTCAAATGTATATATTATATTTATATTATACAAGGTCTAGAGTATGGAATGAGGTTTGTATATATTTGTGCACTTGTTACATACCAGGGACACCAAACCACCGGAACTTATTCCTTCCATTGAGAGGACACTTTTGAAACCAGGGGTCAGTTCCCATGACTTTTGCAGTCATGTAATCCCTCTGGAATCGTGCTTTACAACCAATCCATGAAAAACCTTCCATCCAGATACACAGATAATTATTGATTATTGAAACATGGATGATACCTTCATTTATACAATCTATATACACAGATAGTTCATTGATAATTCATTGATTATGGTTACAGTACCCTCTGGTAAACGTACAAAAAACTATAGAAAATCACCATGCTATTAATGGGAAAATCCACTATTTCTATGACCATTTTCAATAGCTAACTGTTTGTTTACCAGGCCAGGTATACAATTCTCATATTGAAACTTATGGGATTTTCCAGTGCCAGCTTCAACGAGAAAATCTCTGGTAAATTGATATGGAGATTTCCTAAAATGGTGGGTACCCCCCAAATCATCCATTTGAATCGGATTTTCCATTAACCATCCAGCCATTGGGGCCACATTTATGGAAACCACCCCACATATATATACATATATATATAGGTCTTGTAATATTGCCAAGTTGGATTTCTGCAGGCCACGTCGCACGCCAATAAGGTCAGATCCAACCTGCCTTATGGTGGCATTAACGATGGAGGATACTTTGTCTTTTTGCCTGCCACTTGGCATAGCGCCAGAGCATGGCAGTGGGGCTGGTCAAACTTATTGATTTGACCTGGGTCGGGCGACCGGTTGCGACAGAGTGACCGGGCATCGCTTTGTCATGGCAATTTCATGGCAATTCACAAGTTGCAACAGGTACATGCACAGGTGGCTACCCAAAAGGAGCTGTGGGAATGGCTCAAACATCATAATTCCCATCAGCATCTTGGACGTGGCCCGAGGTCCCAATTGAGCCCCTTGAGGGGATTTTCAGCATGAGCTTCAGATGATCTTGTGGACATGAGGCCCGCAATGGTTGGGCGAAGATAGCCATTTTCATTTACAGGTATGTCTTGTTCTATGTGGTCAATTCATGGTAAATACACATTTTAAAACTTTATCCTTGCCTTTACACACATACTGACTTAATCTGGAAGGTGGTTTCAACCATTTTTTATTTTCCATAATATATGCGATAATCCTTCCCATTGACTAATTTTTTTCAGAGTGGTTAAAACCACCAACCAGTAATGAACCTGGCCGGTGGTTTGTTTATATGTTTTTATTTTTTACCATCCAACAAATAAGATGATGATCCCCATTGACAAAGAAATTGGCTAGTTTGGTTCAACCACCAACTAGCTACTAGCCAATGATTCAATGAATTTTCATGCGCACATACTTAACAAATTAATTAGTCTGATAAATTAGTCGCCCCAAGTTTGATTTTATGGCTGACCGTCCGGTGTCATCAAACGTGGCTAGAAAATCCAGCATTTCTATCTGATTTTCCAAGCTATAAACCTCCATTTATTAAAGAAAACAGCCAGCCCCGTTTGATCACCAAAGGGTATTTCTTAAATTAGGTCAACCATTTCTTGATCAATATGACCCACAAAAAAGACCACTACTGGTTGGTGGTTTGGAACATGAATTTTATTTTTCCATTCAGTTGGGAATGTCATCATCCCAACTGAACTCCATTTTTCAGAGGGGTAGGGCTCAACCACCAACCAGATAGATACCCTCTGGTAAACTAACATAACTATGGAAAATCACCATCTTTAATGAGAAAACTCACTATTTCAATGGCAATTTTCCAGAGCTTTAAAGTAAACATGGCACGGAGGTAATCCCCCAGCGAACAGCGCTCCGAGGATACAGAGGAACCCACGGTGTCGGAGTACCATCCAGCGAACAGCGCACGAGGATTGGGCCGAGAAGTGGAGGCCTGGGCACAAAAATAGGGGCTGAAGAGCTTGGGATATCTTGGGATATCTTGGGATTGAAGCAACCTGATAAATCATGCTCTTCAGGGATATCTTAAATCCCATATTAATATCTTATTTACCCTGATTTACCCTGACAAATATGGGATTTAAGATTTTTAATCAGGGTAAATTTGATCACGACCTCACTGTTCTCCCTCACTGGAAATCATGGTTTATGTTAGGGAAATCATCCCCAAATGGCCTTAATTGAGGTTAGTGACATATTCTAATTTACCCAGATTAATGTTCACCATAGTTATTGACCTTATAAAACATAGCACCATTAACTAGAGAATACTATAACTGGTTGGTGGTTTGGAACATGGCTGGATTATTCTTCCATTCAGTAGTGTAATAATCCCAACTGACGAACTCCATCATTTTTCAGAGGGGTAGGTATACCACCAACCAGATAAATATGGGATTTAAGATGGTTTAAGTTTAAGGATTCAATCTATCATGGATGGCATATGCTACTGTGGAGTGCATTCCACTTAGTAACTGGGCAATAGCCACTTTTAAGACCCTGTTATAGATGGAATCCCTAAGTATGCATGTATACATCGCTGGGATGCAAATCCAACTAGATCCAAGGGGATATAACTTGATATAACCATTGCATGTAGGAATGCCGTTCTGGAGGTATCTATGGTATGCTATGATTATAGGCATAAAGGTCTGATCTTCATCCCAAAACAAGGCGTTTTCAGGCAAATCATGTTCCAAAGGTACCCTCTGGTAATTTAACATAGCTATGGAAAATTGCCATTGATTTAGTGAGTCTTCCCATTAAAAATGGTGATTTTCTATAGCTATGTTAGTTTACCAGAGGGTACCTTTGCGGGGTCCATGTTATGTTTTTTATAACGGGGGCGAACCGCAGTTGGTCCTTGGTTCGCAGCTCCACAGTCTGGTGAATGGCTTGGAATCCGCTGGTGGCTTGGGTTGCGGTTTTTTATTTTTGAGCTATGGGTACCCTCTGGTAATTTAACATAGCTATGGACAATCACCATTTTTTATGGGAAAATCCGCTATTTCTATGGCAATTTTCAATAGCTATGTTAAATTACCAGAGGGTACAAGCAACTGCACACCTCAACCAACCTGTCGTCAAAATCCCGCCGATTGAACCTTGGCCGATTCATTGGAAATTGTGTTTTTCCTGAAATCACAATTGTCGAAATTTGACTACTACGAATGATCGAGAACCAACCAGTTTTGTTTGCTGGTTTTCTATCCCAATTGTTATGCGCCCACGTGTTTATTGGTGATTTCCACGTGTACTGCTCTGCTCATACTAGTACATAGAAACAACCCAAAAGGATAGAAACGTCATCTACCACAATCAAATAACCCACCCAAGAATATAGAGATGCTTACCACTATTTCAAAACAGCTAAGTAGGATGTTATTGGTTCTGTAAATTAGTCTATAAACGCATTCACTATAGATAAATCGACCATAAACCACAGAATTCACCTACGTTGACTAATTGGTAGATATGATCTTAATATTTCACCTAGATATTCATGTTCACCATAGTTATTCAGCTATGAAGCATAGCACCATTAACTACAGAATACTATAACTGGTCGGTGGTTTGGAACATTTGGATTATTTTTCCATTCAGTTGGGAATGTCATCATCCCAATTGACGAACTCATATTTTTCAGAGGGGTAGGGCTCAACCACCAACCAGATAGATACCCTCTGGTAAACTAACATAACTATGGAAAATCACCATGCTATTAATGGGAAAACTCACTATTTCCATGGCAATTTTCCATATGTATGTTTACCAGAGGGTATATCTACCAGCCAGTGAGCTTGTAAAATAGCTGCGGGGTTGCTTTTTTTCAGGTGAGCTTCACCTTCACGGAACCCATCTTCCCAAGTCGAGCAACTTGGCCCTTGGCCCGGTCTTTAAACGTTGGAAACATGGCCGTGGCCGAACTTTGTGTGGATTTCTCCATGAAACGTACAGGATACAATGGCCCCCCCTAGTTAGGTTTGTTGGTTTATAACCCCATCTAAATATAGTTACATAAGTATCATACACTATTAAGTTACTATAATTATGCTCACCAACTTCGCTAACGAACTGAGGCCCCATCCTGTAGTGGTATTGTGGCAATATATTGAGATATAATTGATTTATAATTGAAACACATGATGATGCCCTTTGGTAATTTGTTACAGTTCGCTATTGAAAATTGTCATTTAGTTGATTTACTGTACCTATTAAGTTATTCTAATGGTGACTTTCCATAGTTTACAAGAGGGTATCCAACTGTTGGCCACAAATTGTGGGATATCCAAGGAATGATCAAGTCATAGGTCATAGGTGCTCTGATCTTTTGCAGAGCTTTGTTTCATCCAAATTTGCCATATTTTGGTGCTTAGATTCTTATTAGACTGAGTAGCGATTTGTTTTTTCTGGATGCAGAAAAAGAATTAAACATAGATAAAGTGGAACTCCACAAGACATGTTTTGCCCCAGGCATAGGCTCCCATTATGCATAGTAGGTTGTGTAGGAATTGGCGGCTCGCTTTAGCCTACACCAAGTAGGCTTTGTGCAGACACTCGTCGGCAACAGTTAGAACTCATTCATTTTGCCTTGGGTAATTGTGATATTCGTGGTTTGTGGTTCCAACGCCTGTCGCAATCGAAAACAAAAAGAAACCATGGCTGCGTAGGCAAAGCCTACACCGCGTAGGCTCACATAGGCACCACGTAAAAGCCATACCCTGCGTAGGCTACCTCATGCAATGGCGTAGGCTCGGCATAGACAGTTGCGTAGGTTATATATCACTGGTCATCGAAAGTTAAACGACACACTCATATGTTCGGTGCTTGAATCCCCATGTTTGTTGGCTAAATAATCCAAATCTTTTTGTGAAATTTAGGCCTTGCATTTTGGTCCAACGATCAGGGGTTCTGATCACCCAGGTGTCAGCTTGTACAGCAAACGGGAGTGAAGTTGTACACCATTTTTCTGACTGATGCCAAAGTTGAGCTGATTTATATAAGTTGTTTTAATGGGTTGTAATATGTTGTAATTAATGGGATTTCATGGAATTAAGCCGCAATACCATGTAATACACATTTCCAAGTTGTTTTGGGTTTGTGATTTGGGTGCTTTCCGATGTTTGCATTTTGTATTTAACATGAAAAGGGTATTTGATAGCTTTGGATGGCAAGGGAAGGGGCCTAGCAATGACAAATGAATTGTTTGACTTCACCGTAAGCAAAGTAGATTTGAGCTGATATAAGCTGATTGAGCAAGTTTGAGTTCATTTGAGATTTTAAGGCTTACTTATCATTGCTTGACCCCCTTGTAACCCCGTCATACAATGTCATACAAACCTATGGGTATTTGTCTATGTTTCCAAGTTTGTTTGGGTTGGATTGTTCCACCCAAGCTGTTGGGAACCAGGGAATTCTGCAAGAGACCAACGTAATTTTTATTCACCTTTGGCGTTGATCGCTGGTGAAGCAAGTCACTTCATCATGATTGAATCACTGGGTTGATTGATTTACCAGAAGGAAACATTCGGTTCGTACCATTGACTGGCTGCTTCCTGTCATTTTTCATGTTGAGTCCCCTTTTTTGGTGGTGGTCTAAACATCCGCTTGAATGTCATTTATGTGTGGAAAAAAGATGATGGGATCCCAACTTTGAGGCTTAAAGTTAGTGAAAATCCACTTGGTATTCCTCAAATCACCCAACAAATCACCATTTTGGAAGGTTTTGTCATCATCAACTGTCATTTTCGATGCCAGATCTCCCCAGTAATCATTTTTGTGCTGATTGGAGATTTCCCCCATTTCTAAATTTTTCAAGTCCGATTAAAACTTCATGAAACTTCCATTTCAAAGGAGTTGCTGAGTTATTTAACATAGACAGTATAAGTACTATAGAAGTATATGATAACAGTCACATTATGGGAACGCAGCAATTGGAGCTATAGTTGTTGCAAGTTTGCAATTGCATTTTTTCATGACCGGCTGGTAAATGCTGAAAGCGTCGTGGCCTTGGTGCCTTGGTGGCCCCAAGGAACCCTCGGCGCATCATGTGGAGCTCTACCTCACAGGCAACGTCGCCAATGCCGGCGAATTAGAGGACGTCATGGACGTGGTGCAGTTCCACTTACTCCGTGCCGATCCAGAGCGCTGATTTTTGTTGTTTCACATTGTTTGTTATATTTTAATGGATATATTTTTTCTGAATTGTCCTAAATAATATATCTATAGGTATTCCATATAATATCATGAATTTAGGTATAATGAATCCAATTTCATGAATCCAATAAATCATGAATATATTTAATATTATTCAATTGGATATTAATATTATTGGTATTCCATTAATATTAGGATGATTATCATGGAATGTTTTGAATTTCATGAATTTCATGAAATTGATACCATTTAGATGTATCTATTGGATATTATCTATTGGTATTCCATTAATTGGATATTCCATTTATTATTGGTATTTCTATGGATTTTCAACCATATATCTATTTAGGATGTTTTGGGATGATCAAAACACTGCCCAGGATCCAATATGTCTTTCTGGGAGATCTCCAGGATCCAGATGGAGCTACGTTACCCTCTGGTAAACGTTTACATAACTATGGAAAGATCCACCATTTTCAATGGGAAAATCCACTATTTCTATGGTCATTTTCAATAGCTATGTAACAAATTACCAGAGGGTAGTACCATATGTTTGGCCATATTTTCTGGGGATATTCCCTGAAATTTAGCCCTGAAAAATAGGCCAAACATATATGGTATACGTACCTCCAATCAATCGGTTCCTGAAATGGCCATTGAAGATGTTTTTCCTTATACCCTCTGGTTATTTAACATAGCCATGGAAAATGGCCCATTTATAGATGATTTACCTATTTTAAATGGTGATTTTCCATGGCTATGTTAAATAACCAGATGGTAATTGTGTTTTTTCTTCGCACCTCTCTCAGATGATCCCTCATTTAAGGCGAAGATCGGCGTTTTTTTGGGGCCCACTGTCACCAGGAGACCATTGAATTTGCAGACGAGCGAATCTCGCTGAAGGACGACTTGTTTAAGGCACGGTGTTTTTTGTGGGCGGGTGGAACCATAAGAATTTTTTTGGGTTCAAAATCTTCCCGAGATCATGATCCTCTACAATTTCAGGAGTTCTAAAAAGTACTGGTTTTCAACCTGGCGACCCATCCAACCATATTTATATCCATTTATTGTTGGAAATCTTTCAGGCCAAATCCAAGCGTTTTCCCCACCCCGCGGAGACGGGTACACTATGATATCATTGGTGGCTGAATAAGCCACGAACATGGGTTGATGGTGGTAATCAGATGGTATTCGAATGAATATGTGTACTTCTGTGTCTACACCGAGCTTGCGCTTGGACAGTGGAAAGAGGAATCTTGGTGGACGACAGGATGGAGCTGAATTTCCACCGGGTGAAAGAGGGCAACCAATTTCCACCCCATTCAGCAGGGCGCCCGGTGTTTCCTGGTTCCAAGATGTTCCAGGACGTTCCAAGTAATGATGTCCTTCCCCATGTTAGATATATTTAGATATCACCCAGATTCAACCCATAAACACCACCCAAAAAACATCCAAGAACCATCAATAACCAGGTGTTTTTTTTGGGGGATTTACATGTCGTGGGGCCCGAAAAATAGGGGTGTCTTCTTGACATCGGGATTTCGTCGACCTCACGACGTCACATGACCCAACATCTCAGGTTAATGATCGGTTAATGTGGGAAAAACAATGCCATTTGCACCATCCCCCAGTCATCACCATGTTTATAGGTGGTATGTTTACATATGACATATGTTTACCATTTCCTTAAGTGCTTGGTTTATGGCATTGTTTTACCATGTTTTACCTACATTATTGAATCTTGGTATATTGGTGGCTTTAACTAATTAATGAAATAATATGTTTTAGCCAGACTTGTATACAGAGATGAGGACAAACTGTTCCACATTGACTATTGAAAAATGTGGCAAAATCTACGGCCCAGGACAGGTCTGTGCTCAAAGGCTGTCGTTCATTCGTTCAAATTGGGGATCAGAAAAACTTTCAGAAAAAACGTATTCAACCTGAAAAATCTTGGGTATTTATGGAGGGTCAACTTCAAGATGTAACTTATCATCAAAATTCTTTGGGCTGCCACTCTGCCAAATGAACCCTCCACACAGGGAATTGGAACATGGGGGCGTGCACTATACATATTATTTTCCCACTGGTTTTACTTTTGATTTCTCTCATCAAAGGATAAACCCCAGGTTTTAGAACCAATGTGTAGGTAGAAATCTTGTAGAAGGCACACGTTCTCCCGAAAAGAACTATCATTGCTATGACCAGGATTTTCCAAGTCCAAACCTGCCAGGATTTTCATCAAGTCCCTGCAAGGAAGATCTAGGATCGAAAAGAACAGATCATCTAAAAGTCCTACAAACATCTACAAACTATATATAAGTTCAAGTTGAAACTACAACCCAAAAAAAAAATAAAAAACACAGATGTATGTTTTTTCTTCTCCGAGTATCAGAGAAGCACATCACCAATAGACAAATCCAAAGTACTAGGGAATCATTTTGGCGGGGCATATGGTTGACATATTAGGGGGATTGGATTTCAAACAATTGGTCATTGGATTGCTGGTTGGTGGTTTGGAACATGGCTGGATGATTTTTCCATATTTTTCCAGTCAGTTGGGATATTTTAAATCATCCCAACTGACGAAGTCCATCATTTTTCAGAGATGTAGGTTGAAACCACCAACCAGATTGATTTAAGGGGCAACTGACACCATCAATCCCATGAATTGGGATATTGGGGAAGTGAACACAAAAAAACCAGGAAAACCCTCTGGAAAACACTGGTAAACATACAAAAAACTATGGACAATCTGCATTTTTGTAGGTAAATCCACTATAAATAGACCATTTCCATCCATTTCCCATAGCAGGGTAGCTTTGCTCCCCCGTGGCCCGACAGGTGAAGCTGACTCGTTTGGAACCAAGCTGCTTGGCTTGGAACCGTTTTGGTGGGGTTGAAGCACACCACCTTTTTGGTGTTTGAATACTCCAACAAAATAACTCAAAAGGGTGGTTCTAGATGTTTCTAGAAGTGTAAGGAACCCTGCAAAATCATTACTACCATGGAGATAGAACCAGTAAAACCCATGGATTTAAGCATTAACACGCGTGGAGTGAATGAACCATCCAAAATTCTATTACACAACTGGAATCCCAAGCAAGAGGGGGATGTACAGTAGCCATTTAATGTGTGTAAAGCCTCTACAAAATGGTTCCCAAAATCCGGCACCCTTTCGACTTACGATGGGGTTGGCTACAGCCACCATAGAACTGCGGAGTGGGTCGCTTGCCATGTTTGATTACTAGGTAGGCACTGGCTTTAGTTGTCCCATTTGTCGCGGATGTGGGTCAAAACCTAGCAGCTACCATTTTCATGGATAGATGGAACATCCCACACAGATTGTTCTTTCATGTTCTTTCTATGTTTGGGCAATTTTAAGGCTCACTATCTACAGGAGGGGACCAGGTTTTTGACCTATCCCCAACCTTATCCAAGGCAAGTTCTATAGCGTGGTGTTGCCTGCCTTGTCGCTCAACGCCACGTGGCACTGAGAACCAAGCTTTTTGGGTCGGATGGGAACGGAGAATAGGCAAGCGGTTCTCCTTTGAAAAGGAATTGCACAAACCATCTGGATAGATAATTTGAAGTATTTATAACTATACAAGTTAGTTTATAATATATAGCTATACAATCTGGGTAATATGTATATAATAGCTACATGGGTTCATACGGGAAGTTTATACATATTTGTAGCTATCCCAACATGGCTCGACTTTGAAAAGGTTGTTGAATCAATATAATTCAGCCTGAAAAGTGCTTTATTCGTTGATGGGTTAGTGACAATGATGGGGAAGTGAACATCCATTTACCAAGTAGTTTCGTGCTCACAGGGTATGAGGGTTTGACCCAGACATATTGTTGATGGGAAAACTTGACGTTGAACATTCTGTGAAGGTTCCTTTTCTACACGGTGTATCAAGACCAGCACCCAAGCAATCTGTGAAGAGAGTAGCCCGTGAACTAGCCAAGTAGTGAGTTGTACAATTGTTCTCAGAATAAGTCCAGAGTCTTTCCGGAGTTTTTCCGACTCCAAACAGGTTCCACTCCTTCAATACAGTTCTGTATCTTATGTAATAGCACTTCAAAGAGAAAAGGGAAAGAAAACACATGAAAGAAGAAAAAAGAAGAACAATGGACAAGAGATCCTCTCCCTCATCCCCGTTATTTCAAATAGAGAATCTGACAATGATTAGACTAGATGAAAACGATCTGAAATCCAAATTCAGAGCCCTGATCCTTTTCTTCCGGCAAGTGTTTTTTGTTTAATGATTCCTGATCGCTCGCTACCCAGCAATTCAGTGGCGGGATGCACCAATCAGTGTACAACGGTTATAACATGTTATAACCACATTGGACAATACGAAGACAGTTTACAGATGTGGGAGTCAGGAGTTTGCAGCACGCCGTGTTGGTTTGGTTTGCCAAAAGGTACCATTTTTAACTCCCAGTGCCGACTGCTTGCAAGGATGCAGCGGGTAACAATTTCACAGGCTGGGCGGTAGCCGGTCATCAGATTGGGCAAAGAAGACTTTAGGGATATAGGATATAGGGCTTTCTTAAAATGGGGGAGCCCCAAAACCATGGGTTTTAATGCAAAGGATACAGTTTACTAGTTGGTGGTTTCAAAGAAGTGTTTACATCTTATTCCTTAGAAGTGTTCGACTAGTGATTGAAGGACCGGTTGAAGCCACCCGTCCTTGGGGATTATGAACTGACCAAGAATGGGAAGAAACTGGCGCTCGCGCATCATGATGGTTCACTGGTATTGGAAACAGATCTTCCAGTACGGGATGCTACACATCTTAATTTCCCTCAAATTTACCTCTAAAAATTGTTCATCAAAGTATCAGTCAGGGAACAATACCCAGTTTTTTTTTTTTGCGGGGTAAAAAACAGAACATGAAGTCATCAAAAAATCCAGTTACATGAGTTGCGCCTAAAAATTCATAGATTTTCCATAACTGGTCAACATATCTTCCATCATAACAAACACATGTTGTGAAGAGATTTTGACACGGCACGCCGCAGGGATTCCACGGAACTTTTACATCTTTGGGACTGGATCCGTCTGGGGGCCTGGCAGAACTGCTATGGATTGCTATGACTCCCAAAAAAGATTCAGAAGAGGTTGATTGTACTATCATTTTACTTGCAGATTTTCATGGCTTGTACTTATATGTTCTATATATTACCATCAGTTTAGTTGTATATGTTGTATGGTACTCATGTTCCATTTTAACATCAGTTTAGTTGTACGGTACTAATATGTACCATCATTTTACTTGTTTCTCTTTCTAAAGTCGCGATAAGCATCTACAACCTGTGATGGAACACATGGAAACAAGACTATACCAAAACTGATAGATCCAGGCAAGCTGAACACAGATATCAACGCATGGGTTCACCAGGACTTTTGCACCTCCCTGGCTTTTACCAGTGAATACAGGGCTTTCCGGCTTTCCGGCAAAATTTTCCAACCAATCTGCAAGGATACCAGCAGTTGTGTCTTGCCCTTGTCATCCCTTGTCCATTTTGAACCCTGACCTGCGAGAGACGACTCATCCACAGTCTCCTTTGATGATTTGACCGGGCTTGGAATGCCAGAGTTTGCGGCCATTAAGAAGCGAAAAAAGTGATGTACCTGGTTGGTGGTTTGGAACCATGGAATTTTATGACTTTCCATATATTGGGAATTTCATTATCCCAACTGACGAACTCCATCATTTTTCAGAGGGGTAGGGCGAAAAACCACCAAGCAGATGTTTATACTCTGGTAAACTAACATAACTATTCTAGCAAAATCTTACCCATATTCCAAGGCTGTTCATATTCCATGCCCAAATAGCTCCGGAAATTTGGAAAATAATGAACGACCTTTGATGATGAGAATAAGGTTGTGTGACCCTTGTCAGGCGCTCCCTTGTCACGTGCTGTCATGTCCAGTCGCACATGTTTAACCCCGCTGAGAACCTTCTCAAGCAATGATTTCTTGAATAAACATAATCATAAAGTCTTGTTTCTCTCATCAATCATCAGCTTCTCTCTAGGATCTTTTAAAACCATTGGATAAGCTGTTCAGCTTATTTTTTGACGCGTTTGGCTGGCGGCTCAGCTTCCGCATCTGTAAACGGGGCCAAGTCTGGATTACGCTGTTCTTCCTCGAACCCAAATGGTACCATATTTCCACTTAATACAGTTACATTGAGTAGGATGCCACCCCTGGAGTACGATGCCCCCCTCGTATGCGTTGCCGTTCCTGCATGTGGGCTTCTCAGGCATATGTTAATATCATTTTTGATCAACTCGAGGCTGCAAATTCCATTCCGCATACCCACAAGGCATCACACTCTATCGCGCACGACTAAGACAACAATCGAGAATTTCCATAGCCTCCACGGGTCAAAAGTATCAAAATTTCATGGAATGCGATTGTATGCGCGACTGTTCAAAACGCTGGAAAAACAACAATTTCCCCCATATTCCATATTATCAGATTCCAGAGCATTTTACCTCCGAAGAGGGAAAAAAAAAGCTCTTCAGGTCAATTTTTCGAAAAAAAAATGTTTTTGGCTGTCTGCGCAAGTTTTTCTGGTGTACGATCCCTTTTGTGGAGTACGATGATCTGTGAGTAGGTGTGTGGAGTGCGATGGGGTCCTCTGGGGTGCGATGACACCCCTCGAGTGCGATGCGACATGAGTATGCGCGGCCGGAAATCCCCTGAGAGAAGGATTCTGGGCCACAATTCCCCAAATTCAACAGAGTGGGCGGATGCTGGTTGTTGTAATTTAACAGGATTTCAGCCCACTCAACAAACAAGTCAAACAATATGTTGAAACCCTCTCCTTCTTCAGTCTCCAAAATGGGAAACTCACTTATCAGGACACGCTTTAGCTCATCCAGGCTCCATAGCATTTCAGGAACAACACAAGGCATCGACATGGTGCCAAACAATTTCCAAATTGAGCTGAAAGGTCTTCCCATCTCAACCAGTCAATTCACAGGTGTGAAACATGTCACACACAGGGAAACAGGTTGGGAAAACAGTGGGTCCAAAGAGACAGGTCTGGAGTACGATGGATTCATAGTATATGTACATTTTCTGAATTTGGGTAACTTGGAGCTAGAACTATGGAAAATCACCATTTTTAATGGGAAAACTCACTATAAATGGTCCAATCTGATTTGGGCTTACCTGCAACCTCAAAAACTGGATGTGGTAAATCATCAGAAACACGCGCGGTAGCCGATGTCACTGCAGATTATGGTAAGGGAAACTAGCACAAAACATGGCCTTCCTTTAGGTGCTTGTGAGTGTGCACAGTTGAACTGTGTGTTTGTTGGGATATTTGGATATATCATATATGGTTTTGATCGAAAGTGGGTTGTATGCCCCAAAAATAAAGTTAAACAGGGTATAGATGGATATATGAGGTTTTAAACCAATGGATGGAATGTGTCTCAGACAAAGCCAAAAATCGTCAATGAGGATGCGACCGTGGATGATGTGAATTGGAGTGACACTTTGTTTCTGGGCGAAAGAGTGATCCGACTGGTGAAAGCCGGTGAGAAATGACCATGTTAGTAGCCATTTATAGCACTTTGTGGAGATCCTCAAATAATTCACCAGGGTTTATCCTGGACGGACATTTTATAAATTTATGTGAGCTAATGAAAAGGAGCAGATTACATAGTCAAGAAATCATAGCCATATCTGGGAATGATTGGACATGTACATGCACACGGCCACCAACAAATATATTCTGGCAATATCATTTGCAACAACCACATGGATCGAGATTGAAAGTCACAAAGACACGGCATACAGTTAGCCAAGGCTGCAAGCTGTCGTTGAAATTGGGATACCAATTGACACCCAAGTGGTTGATCATGTTTCGGCTCCAAATCAACGGTTTACTCACTGTTTATAACTTTATAACCCACAAACATGAGTAAACAATTAAACCGTCTCTGAGAAATGTGAATGAGCAGTCAAATTGGAAGAGGAATCAACAGTAAAGTGGTTATAGGATGGCATGGTACAGGTACTTGCCTGTACAAGAAAACAATGTTATATATTATATTATATATGATACATGCGTGCATATGGATAAGATAAGATACATACATGTGTAGCCAGGAGCAATTGGTCGTATTCTTGTGGTTGATGGTTCAGATACAAGCAGCTCTGTTGACAATGACTTCAACATAGATGGTTGGGAAGCAGAAGCTTTGCAGGATCCCCTTGTGGTTGGCGAATGGAAATCGAGTATTTATCTCTCTCCAATAGATAGATAAATGATAGATACGTAGATAGATAGATAGATAGATAGATAGCTAGGTAGATAGATAGTTACATATAGTTGGATAGTTAAATAGTTGGATAGTTAGATAGTTAGATAGATAGATATATCATATCTATATACATATGTAATGTGATGTAATCATATATATATATTGTCTATATGCATCTACTTATTTTGAAGGAAGCAACAGATGCACCCAGTATCTGGTTTGGCTTTCAAGCATCCTTTTGGTGGTGCAGAAGTTCTTGTCATTGAGACACCCCATCATTAATAGATGATTGTCACATACCCCAGTTACGGGGCCAAAGCCCCTATAAATCAATCATTCTTGGGGAATATTTATATCCATATTATAATCCATGTATATATATATATAATTAATTATATATATACATATACTGTATATGTATATATATATATATAATCCATATTGAACCCATGTTTCTGATGTGTGTCCCATCATTCAACGACGGCTCGAAGGTTCATCGTGCTGGGTGTGGGTTTGCCATTTTCGTTGGGATCGCTGGAGTGCCTCGCTGAAAAATCGGGAGCCAACAAAGAACCGAGGAAGCTGTTTTTTTTTTTTATATGGGGTATAATGGAATATGTATAATATAACTATATGTATGTATATATGTATGTATGTATATATGTATATATGTGTATATGTGTATATTTATATATGTATATATGTATATATGTGTGTATATGTATATATGTATATATATATGTATATATGTATATATGTCTATATATATATATATGTTTATATGTATATCTGTATATATGATAATATGTATATATGTATATATGTATATATGTATATATGTGTATATGTGTATATGTGTATATATGTATATGTATATGTATATATATGTGTATATGTATATATATATATATATGTATATATGTATATATATATGTATATATGTATATATGTATATATGTATATATGTATATATGTATATGTGTATATATATATATGTATATTTGTGTATATGTATATATGTATATTTGTATATATGTAAAAATGTAAACATGTAAAAATGTAAAAAAATGTACACATGTAAAAATTGTAAATGTAAAAATGTATATATATATATGATATATTTATGTATATACATATATATATATATCGCAATTATATGATATTTATCATTAAGGATAATATATATATAACATATGCATGGCAAACTATTTAATTTTGGAGAAACATAATCTGATACCAGACTTGGATGATGGGAATAATGACGGTTGAAATACTTTACGTAACAGGGACATACTATGGTTGTCTGTACTTTGCTATTGAAACCAACCCATTTAATGAAGGCTGAGTCCTTTGTTTTTGCAAGTCTTGAAAGCAACGCGATCATGATTTCAACCGTTTTTCAAATATTAAAGAATGGAATTATGTTGTTTTTAGTTCAGATATTGTTTGTTCAGGGGAGCGGCCCTTTAACACCTATGAGGTTTGTTAAAGCATGAACTTTTTTGGTGCCCTTAGGCCTATTTGCAGTTGATGCGTCACTATGGTCATGAATGATGATCAGCAACCTCTACTTAAGGTATCTTCCTGTAGTGCCCCAGTTATAAGTTATAAGGCGGTTATAAAGCCGTTACCATCTATGGTTCAAGTATCTATCGTATATCCAACGTCGTTAACTTGGCATCACCTTGATCTTCCAATCATCCGATTCTCAGATGCTGTCAGATGCTGCCAGATGCTGTCAGAATGTCAGGTGGTTGGCTACCTGGTGATGCATTCTGGACGTCAAAATGCCCGAATTTTCGCAAAGAAGGTGGTTTCCTGGGGTGGCTCTCGTGGGACAATGATTAATAACCACAGTAGTACGGTATATGGTATAACCCGGTATAGAACAGTTCAATTAGTTATAATTACAATATGTTACAATAATAAGTTATAAACCACTGAAGTGGAATGCACATGGTAAGACACCCCTTTTGGATCAACATTCAAGACTGAGAGATACAGATTGACTGGTCATTCAGTTTTGGGGTCATTCGGTTCCATGGAGCAAGTTGAATAACCTCCGGGACACGCATGGGACCCAAGTTTGTCTTCATGATTTTAGTTTCGCATATATTCTTGATGTCTCTTTGAGCATGTGTTTTCAAGGCGCGAATGACTTAGAAAATGCAGAACTCTGAAAACCGTGGACGCACTGTCAAAGTTGAATCCAACCGAATGTGGGCAAATGGTGCCCACAATTCACCGCATATCTGGGTGTGAGGGGAAAATATGGATAACCCCAAAAGTGGGATGCTACAAGATGCTACAAGTAGATGTATATCAGCGTGACATTATGACATATCCCAAGCCTATCCAGTCCCACCCAGTTCCAGTGACAACCTTTAATGGGGGGTCCAATCATTAAGCAAATGCTTTCTCTCTTAGAGTGATCCCCACCCTGAAACACTATTCAATATTCTGGACAGCTGGACAAAGTTTCTACATAGTTTCTGACACACCATATGGAAGTATATATGGCATATTTTTCTGGCATTCTATCTGACAATCTTTCTGGCACATACTCTGACAGTCTATCAGTCTATCAGTCTATCTTAATATCTGACATTCTATCTGGCATCTACTCTGACATACTTTCTGGCATATAATATTCTGACATTTTTTTTGTATTTTATCTGGCATCTATTCTGGCATTCTACCTGGCATCTATTCAGGGCATCTATTCTGACGTTCTTTCTGGCATTCTATCTGACCTGGCGTCTGGCTCAGGTCCGGCAGTGCCCACTGACACCTGGCGCCCGCGGTTGAGGAGCTGAGGGACGAGGACAGGAGGAGAAGAGGAGAAGAGGGAAAGGACAAGGAGGAAGCAACTCTGTGATAAAATCTGGAGACCCTGACCTGGCAGGTGGAGAAAAAACACAACATCTTCAGGGATGAGGTATCCTAAGGAGCTCCTTTAACATTTTGACCCAGGATTCTTTCCATTCGTTTACCCATGGCCACAGCGGAAAGGTCCGAAACAAGAGCAAAGGAGCTACGCAGGCGGCGCGGAGTTCGGTGCTGCCGCAACGGTTTCGGTTTCCCCCGGATTTCCAGTTGCTCCGCCAGTTTGCACGGTTGCTAGTTGGTGGTTTGGAACATTTAAGGGGATGGTTTATGATTGATTTACCATCATTAATCTGGTTGGTGGTTTGGAACATTATTTTTTATTTTCCATTTCATATGTCATCCTTCCCATTGACGAACTCATAGACTCATATTTTTCAAGATGGTTATTGCACCACCAACCAGGTTGGTACCCGTCGATCTATTACAGTGTACCGGGGTCATCCCCCACCATCGGCATTTCGCATGATCGACCTGATCTTGTTTTCGCCAGGGCCCACGTTTAGTGTACAACCAATAACAATGGCATACAAACTAATCCAGTCACTGTTTTCCAACAGTCCTTGACGATGAAGGAAGCGAACACAGAATTTTCCCTGGAAAACCCAATGATCTGAACTTTCTGACTTGAGTAGTGCTGATTGATGTGAAACTTGCATTTTTGATCTGTAATGTAGGTTCAGGATCCCAACAAGTATCAGATGAACGTTAGCAACACATCGTAAAAATCACAATATAAGAAACATTTTATTTTTAAATTTTGGGACATGTGTATTTGCACTATATAGACCAAAATAAAACATTGGAGAATACTACTAATCCATACAAATCTGATACACTCAATGTCATAAACCATCCCTAAGTCCTCGCCACAAAATGGCTTCTATCAGCCATCCCGCTGGCGCAGGCAGATCCTATGCGCCTGGAAGACCCGGACGATGGCTTTTACACACAGCTCCATGGTTGGATCGTTCTCGTGACGGGACCCGGGATGGACTCGGGATGGGGTCTGGGTGAATTGTTGTGACCTCACCGTGACCGAACCCTGGAATCATGGTTAGTAATTAAATGTAATTAAGGATAATTAAGGTGTAACTATCCCCAAATAGCCTTATTTCAGCTACCGGCGGCAGTGTTTGCTATTTTTTCAGATGTCACGCACGTCAGTTCGAAGCTATGCACGGCAGTTAGAAGTTATGCGCGTCAATTAGAAGTTGTGCAGGTTGTGCAGGCAGTGGGAATTTGTGCGCGTCAGTTTGCGCACGAACGACCATGTGATTATTATGGAGAACTGGGTGGGGGGTAGGGGGCAAGGGGCATGCACGTTGATGCTACGTTGAAAATGAGATCTTGCTTGCTTGCACGTTGATGCTACGCTGATGAGATCTTTCTTGCCCGTTGATGCTACCTAGCGAGCCTGAACCCTAACATTTTGTAGGTTTTTCATCGAATCCCCGGGTTTTTCCCAAATTTCATTAAAATATGGGTTTTCTTCCAAAAACCCCGGGTTTTGTATATATATATATATATATATGTATACTAAAGGGCTTTTTGGGGAAACTGATCATGTTTCTAAATATATCAATATAATCATACTTAGCCAAACCCTTCCTTGGACAGCCTGCCTTGCTTCAGGTCGCCAACAGGAGCATCCACGATCAAGGATGTACTATGTAAATTCCTGATTTTATATTTTATACTTTCACTTTGCTTATGACCTAGCGAGCCTGCACATTGGAAGCCGCTGATTCCTAAGAACCTGGATGCCTGAGCCCAACGGATGGTGAAAACTTATAAATACAACAATTTTCATTGGTTTGGGTCAGAAGAAATTTGAATTCGGCTTTTTAATTCATGGATGATTCCAAACATGAAAAAAAATCAGCCAAAATCTGGACCTGGAAAATGAATCCAATTACGAACAAACAGGTGGTTTTTGTTTTTTTTTCCGGACTATATGATGTTTTTTTATGATTTTCAAGATTTTGGCTGAAAATTAAGGGTTTTTTGGAAAAAACCGTATTTTCCCGTACTTATCCCGTATTTAACCCGTACAAAACCCGTATTTTTTGATTTTCCTAAAAACCCCGGGTTTTAAAAACCCGTATTTAACCCGTACAAAACCCGTAATTAACCCGTACAAACCCGTAGAAAAAATATGGGTTTTTTGGGCCCCGGGCTGAAGGCCAACAGTAGCGGATTTTTAGGTCCGATTGCTGTTTTGCGAGAAGATGCCAAACCGGCATCGAAAATTAGATGGGAAAAATGGATACAGCCTTCAAATTTACATGGCGTACCGCGGAAAATTAATAAATCATCTCCAGGCACCATGTTTTCTGTAAGTTTGACGGTGGTTCAAATTCGCAGCCTTGTTGGACTGGAACGGACTGTAGTTGGATTGTAGTGAGTATGGCGCCAAAACATGTGTCTACTCGTATAGGGATATTTACGAGGATGGAGAAAAAGTGTGGAGCATTTGGCCAGGGTGCAACGCATCATATGGCATGATTTTGAATTTCTCAAAGATTTTCAAACATTCAGACAGGATTTCAAACAGAATGATCACAAAACGGGAAAGATCATGACAGATCATGGAAATTCAAACATGATGAAAAACATGGCTTTTCAAAACCCCGGGTTTTGATGCAAAACCCCGGGTTTTCTCTCAGACCCTACGATTTCATAGGTTCTTGGTTCCACTGGTAGGCTGATGAGATCTTACTTGCTACGCTGATGCTACGCTGATGATATTTTACTTGCCAGTTGCTGCTAAGCTGATGAGATCTTACTTGCACGTTGGTGCTACATAATTACGCTGATGAGATCTGTAAAGAAAGCGTGGCGGTACCAAAAACATATTCCGAAGGGATTCAAACTTAATCAGTCTTAATCAATATGTATGTGGTGCAACCGCAACAAAAACTTGAAAGGAAGATAAGGAAGTCTGGCCAAATTGGCCGCCAAAGCTAACCGACGCAAACGATGAGGCGATACGAAAAAAACATGCAAAACCCCTTTTCCAAATCCACATTTGCAGAATATTTCGGCCCCTATATATAATTCAATGATCGATGAATAATTCCTATTGCGACGGGACACAATGACCATTCCTGTTTCAAGAAAAAACAACACTATCATGACGCCACCACTGTTTTGAGCACATTGATGAAAAATCCATGGCATGAAAACCATCAAAACCACGGGGCCGTTATTGGCGCCAGAACCTTATTCTAGTTTACCCAGACGTTAATTGGGTTTCTGATGATCTGCATGTTTATATGCCGAAAATTGGGATTTGAGCTGGTACGACTGTGTGAATATGAATCCGTGGTGATTCTGTGATTTGACAAAGAAATGGGGATTTGAGCGGATTTTTCACATGATTTCACCGTCAAAAATGGTGAAATTAAGGCTTACGATGATTTGTTTTTCTCCAGAAGTGTGGCTGGTGTCATACCGAAGGTTATTGCGGTACCCCAATGGGTTAAATTGGGCATGGCTCAAAAATGGAGCGTTAAGGCACCCTTAAATGGCTCTTCACGTTTAGTATTTCACCATCACAACATGAGGGTTAAAACTTTTGAGACGTACCCGGTACCCATAAAATGGTTGTTTCAACATGGAAGATGATGAAAACGGGTTTGTTCCCTGGAGCTGGATGGATCGTAGAGTGACTTCAAGGCCAATGAAATGGGTGGGTTTTTTGGGCAGGCCCAGCTGTGCCCTAGTTGTGCGTTTTATTTAATGTATGTTCATGTTGTTAGTGGCCTCAAAGCGATGGCTTTGGACGTCGCCTTAAGCATTAAAAAAAAAAGCCGTCTCATTCGGTCTTCAATCGGCTGCAAGTCATCAATTTACGCTGGCACCGTGCTTTAGATATGTTTTCGTTTTTTTTTGTTCGTGAACAATTTTGGTATCAGTGAGGATGTTGATCAATGTAATGTTATCTATACCTTGGCAACGGTATGGTACGCTGCATTAGCGGGGTCACAGGGCTAAAGCAAAGTTTCACTCGTATACCGTCATGTAATTACCCTTTTGGAAGCTTTCTTTATTTTGTAATCTTATTTTTTGATGGATAGATTAGATTATTGTATCATTTTCAATGTCATATCATTATATATTATATATATAATAATATCCATTTTTTTGGTGTTTTAAAGTGCACATGCTGCATGTATAATTATATTTATTTATCTACCTACCCACCTACCTACCTACCTTCCTAGCTAGCTAGCTAGCTGGCTAGCTATCTACCTACCTTCCTACCTTCCTACCTACCTATCTATCTATCTAGCTATCTAGCTAGGTTTGTCTGAAAATGTGGTACCATGGTATACCCCCAAAATGGCAATGTCACATTGTGGATGGAATGACTTACCCTATCTCTGTGTTTCCTACATTTTTCTCTCGTTTTGGATGATCCAAACACAACACCCACATGTTTTTTTCCAGTCGCCAAGGAAACCTGCCGTGGATGAAGCAGCAAGAGCTGAAGGTGCTTTGTTTTTTGTGGTTAAAATAGTGAGAACCTCCAAGTTAGGCTTGTTTTGTGGTGATAACAACCCTCCAAGTTTTGGTGGTTCAACAATGCTTAACTCGTACTTGTTGATGGATCAAACTGTGATTTCATTGTGATTGCCCACACAAAAAGGTCATGTTTATATGTTTACAGATGAAATACAATGTCCTTTTGGACATGGTGCTTGGTGAGTGGACGATACACCCATGAAACCCAATATGGACGCGCAAAGACGACTTTGTCCACTACTAGATGTATCTTCCAACCGCACATATATGGTGGTCTGTGTCGGAACCGGTGGGGTCTTGATAAAAATATTTGTATCAAGCCAGTCGCAAACATGGTACCCTTGTTGTTTTGGACACGTGCGGTTTTTGCAGGCCCACTTGTTCATTTCTCAATTGCAGAAGATACCTCTGTGGCCATGGAGGGTAAAGTTAAGCTGGCAAAAAGCATAGACCTGTATACTGTCCCGTAAATTAACATAGATTTGGGGAAAACAAAAACATGTAGACTACATTCCTTGACAAACAAGTGTTCTTGGTAGTCAAACTCACAGGAGGCTAATTTATCTTTTGTTTTCACAAAGGTCTTTTTCGGTGAAACAAAACACTTCCAGCTTCGGTAGCTTCGGTCCCGGGAAGGCACATCGATTCTATGGCAGGCTCAAGCCTATCAATAGATTCCACCGGAGAGACCTTCGGGGTATTGAAAAAAATTGGGGGATGCAAGGTGATGCCCCCTGAGTTATAAGTTGCTTTAGAACCCCCATTAACTATAGATTGTATATACATACGGATATGTATATATATATGATATATTATATGTATCGATATGTAATATATTACGTATCATAAGCCCTAGTTAAGTGTATGTGTCTACCCACTACCTATTTGTATCTATTTGTATCTATTTGTGGATTTTGATTGGTACCCCATTGCTACCGCTCTCCGCTCCTTTTCGCAGGCAGCACCGCTGTGGAAATGTTCCGACAACAGCACCATGTGACCGTTGCGTGGGATGCCTCCATAGGCGCCAGAGCTACACATGCTTTAGGATCTTCAGCAAAAAACATCTGGAAGAACTCGAGCAAAATGCAACAAAGAAACTAGGATTGCGATTTCTTAGATCTTTTTCTTTTTCTTGGATCCATTTCAGCTGTGTTCCAAGCAACTGCCCCGGGCAGCCGTACCAGGCCTGGAACACAGCAGCTCGAACCTCTCTGCCAGCCATGGTCTCCATGGAGGTCATAGCCATGGTCTTGGTAGCCATGGTCTCAATGGAGGTCATAGCCATGGTCTTGGTAGCCATGGTCTCAATGGAGGTCACAGCCATGGTCTCCATGGAGGTTACAGCAGTCACCAACTGCAGGCGCCACACAGGGCGAGTTGGGCACGGGATGGCATGGATGAAAAGGAGCCAGGGAGCCACCTACCATCATCCTGTGGTACATTGGGTGTGGTGCAATCGTGAGCAGCCAGTCTTGAACTTCCGAAAGCTGACATGGAATCGACCAGTGCCACAAGCCCTTGGCAGATATCCACATGCTTAAAGTGAGTTTGGAAGATTAAGTTCGCAGTTCATATTGCCCACTATTGAGTTTCATCATGTACGAGCCATGTACATGACACCTTGACAGGGGTACCAAGAAAATCATTTGTGCCATTGATTGGACCCTGATGTTGACGATCAGCTTGTGGAGATTAACATATGTGCTATGTTGGGTGTTTATACTTTCTTCTCCACCCTGTTGACAGGATCAGATTTGCTATCCTCCTGTGTCAGGCTCGAAGCGTGAGTCCGCACAACAGCCCCCGGCCTAGTGCCAGCCCCCGGCCTAGTGCCAGCCCCCGGCCTAGTTCCAGCCCCCGGCCTAGTGCCAGCCCCCGGCCTAGTTCCAGCCCCCGGCCTAGTGCCAGCCCCCGGCCTAGTGCTCTCACAGATGAAGGTGGGTGAGTCTGTTGGAGTGGGATAGTGATGATGGGTAGTACTCATATTCAGCTGGTTGGCCATTTTGAATGTTCTTTTCCCGGAAGATGACCGGCTGATGATTCTGGTTGAATATCAATGAATATCATAAGATGAACATTGGGTATCTTGAGGAACTGTACTCTGTAAATCTCTGTAACAACAAATTGTGTTCTGATCAAAATGTACGACTGGGAAATCCAATGCTTTCCTGCCCTTTGCCGAGACGTTTTCGCGTTGGGAACCTCGCCCAGAGACCGATTGGGGCAACCCCCCGGCGGCGATCACCGCGTTCAGGTTTTGGATCTCGGAGTGGTTCACAAGTGGCCGCACTCTATGCCTGGGCCACAGAATGCCATGGGGAAGCATGAAAAAACCATTGGGGCATGGTGATGATTTTCATGATTTTCCGGATAAGAATGATAAGATCCCAAAGAAACATCTTGAAACTTGCGAAGACTTGGCAGTTCTTCCATCATCTTTGATCATTCAGAGAGAAATTTGAGCCCCGAGGCCCGGGGCCAAGGTGCAGCTGGCTTGGGTTCTGCCAGGGACCCTGATTTTGGGCGGATTTTCTGGAAAGCATCACCAAGTCCCTTTCTCAGCTTTCCTAATCGTAGTTATTCATAGATTATAGATATTTAAATGATATTTATAAATTACAAATGAGTTTTTAATAAATGGTTATTTTACCTGTTTGCTCCAATCATTCGTCGGACGAATCCATTCCACAGCAGCAAGTGTTTCACGGCTATTCCCTTGGGTGCTGTGTTCTTATGTTCTTGGGTGCTGTCCACGGACCCTCCATATGCGTGAATGAGTCATGTTTGACAGGCGTGGTCACAATTAGGACTGTCCTATTTGGAGGTCTAATGACTATACAGAAACCAACATAGCTGGCTGGAACATGATGACATTAAGTGAAACACGAATCGATCTATTTTTACAATGCCTCCATCATTTTGCAGGCTGTTGGTACAGTTTTTTTTTGCTGGTCAAATGGACAATCAACACATGTACCGAAAAAACCACTGAAAAGGAACATGTATCATGTATGGTTGGGAGAAGGTTGAATGTAGCACCCGGTGGACCCTCTCAGTTCATACCTATCAACGCGGATTCAATTTTACTCGGTTTATCAAAACCAAATGTCTTGTTAGATAACCTTTCATTTATCAATCATTTATTATGTGAATCTCGATTTCGAGGATACAGAATGAGGCCCAAACAGAAAGGTCAACAAGTTATATATTACCCCCTGGTAATTTCACAGTTTGCTGTGGAAGTCATGGCACATGAAAATTGATGATTTGATATGATTTGCCTCATTATTCAACATATATATATATTTAAACCATGTTAAACCATGTTAAACCAATAAATGATTTATATATGATCATATTTGAACCAAGTCATCATATTCAACTCACCCTTTGATGATTTCCCACTTCGCTATGTTTTTGATCCAACGGGTATACGTCGCGATGACTCCGGGCCAGGTGCCCAGTTGGCACTTCCAGGTTCCGTGCCCAAGGTTCGCAGCCTGCGCAAGTTCTGGTAGATCTATAGGTAATCTACCCTCTGGTAATTTAACATGGCCATGGAAAATTGTCCATTTATAAATGGTGTACCTATTAAAAATGGTGGATCTTTCCATGGCTATGTTAAATAACCAGAGGGTATATGGTAATGGTATAGATGGCCCATAAAAATAGATGGTTTACCGGTTTACCTAGGTTTACCTATTAAAAATGGTGGATCTTTCCATGGCTATGTTAAATAACCAGAGGGTATATGGTAATGGTATAGATGGCCCATAAAAATAGATGGTTTACCGGTTTACCTAGGTTTACCTATTAAAAATGGTGGATCTTTCCATGGCAAACTGTTAGTCATAACCAGATGGTAATTATCTTAATTATCTGGTTGGTGGTTTGGAACATGAGTTTTATTGTTCCATTCAGTTGGGAATAAACATCCCAACTGAATAATATCTTTCAGAGGGGTTCAAACCACCAACCAGTATAGGTAATGGGATAGACATGAACACACACAGACATATAAACAAGGTGCAGGGCACCTGAGGGGCTCCCAGCTGTTGACATGTTTTTTGTTTTATATTAGGGGAAATTGAAAAGGACCAAAATCAAAACTTTAGTTTCATTACCAACATCGTCACCACCATCAACATCAACTTCAACATATATTTATCATCATCGTGATCATGGTCGTCGTCATCATTATCATCATGACGTATATGTGGAAGTAGAAGAGAACGCACAGTAGTGTACCATGAGGTATGTGTGGAAGTGCAAGAGAACGCACAGTAGCGTAGCATGACGCGTGTGTGGAAGTGCCAATGAACGCTATTGACTCACCCCACCCCACCGTTATATTCACAGTAAGATACAAAATGTGACAACAGTCGCGAGCCTCTCAGATGGCACCATAAACACCAGGCGCCACCGGCGCCAGATTGGGGGGGAGCTGGAAAGAAATGTGTCCAAGGTTGGTGGATCGATTGTAAATGATTTCATCCGACTTAGATCTCCCACGATCCTTAAAAATGATGGTAAACTGATGTAAACTGGCAATTATTTGATATCAAAAGATCGTGATGGGTAAAGAAACATGCAGCAAAGTCTCCAAACTTTGGCTTGTAAAATGTTTATGGCTCCAGAAGACCAGTTTCGATTGACCGGTTGGACCTACAGATCGTGGTGCTCCACCGTATCTCCAGGCGGGACGGTCCAGTCCCTCATCCAAAGATCCCGCCGGAGGCGTGCTGAATTGACGCTACGGGAGATTTCAGCTACAACAGCTACAACAGCTACAAGAAATGGTCAAAAAATGCTGGGTTTGGACCAACGGAAAAAGGATATAAAAGGGATTTACTGTAAGATGTCTTTACTTTATACTTTATTTCATCTTATTTCACCCATGAAAATGGAAGGCAAAGAAAAAACACAGTTGGATTTCAACCCAAAGAATGATTAGACATGTCAATGTGGTTGTATATGCAGAAAGGCTTCGGCTCAACAAACAAAACACACATATTGACCATATGGGTCCTACTTGGGGTTTATCCCACCTATAGCTGGGTTATATTCTGGTTGGTTCGCACATGGCACCCATTTTGGATGGTACAATCTCGATGTTCATTCCTTAAACACCTATTTTTGTTGGCTAAAGTTTATGTTTGTGTTGGTTAGACTCCAATTTGGTCTTGCTAAAATCCCTAAATGTTTGCCATCTTCGCAGGTCGCGATCCGTCGAAGAAGCTGACGAAGAGCAGTTCCAAGATGTCCGTCCAAAGCTTTCACGACGGCGGCAGTGGCAGCGCGTCTGCGACGAAAGTGCAAGCGCCGGCGGCGCAACGGGTCTGGGAGACCCAGGGGGTGGAACTGGTTGGAATGGGGGCCGGCTTGGAAGCTTGGGTTCTTGGGGGTTCTTGGGCTGGAAGGAAGAAAACAACCAAATGATCCTTAGATGTTACTGTTTGTGTTTGTGAATATTCAAGACCTGTAAAGACTAAAGAAACATACGTTGGGTGTTCATGACGATGTTCTCTTTTACATTATTTTACCATGTGGGTCCCGGTGGTATCCAGGTGGGTCCAGGTGGTGGGAACGTGTCACAGCTGAAGCGTCAGTTCATTGAATTATAATGGGGGGGTTCCTATAAGTCATGGGGGTATACCCCAAAATGGATGGTTTTTATCATGGAAAATCCGAAAATCAATTGGATGAGAACTGGGGGTACCCCTATATGACAAAACAGAAACCTCCATATAATTACATATATATGGAATTTCCTGCATTATCAGATACCAGGATTGCTCAGAGGACTGAGAATTTGTTTGAGGCTTTTGACCTTTCATGCGCCTCTATATCTCTTTCTCTTTCCGTCTTAATTTTATATATACAATTATGTGATTACATATACAGGTTGTCCAAACTTACGACAACTCCCCAAACCCAGTTGTTTGACGTCATATTCCACAATTATCATTTGAACCCTATTCTGGACGAACCCATGTGTCCTCACTGAGGCACGACCACGAGCACCAGGCCCAGTCCCCATGGTTTCATGTGTGTTTGTGGCGCCAACAAAGAGGAACTACAACCTGCCTGCGCCAGGCTGGCAATCTTCAAATCATGGTTTTTGGACACCAATTCTTTTATCGGATTCTAGGCCAAATTTGTCCATGCGAAATGCTCAAGTGAAAAGAGATACAGGGGTTTAAGTAGTAGGTTCATGTTGCTTATCATAGAAAGCAATGACCCAATGGAGTCAGGTTTTCGTGTTCCAAAATGGACAGAGGTCAGTTCTTCCTATGCCGTTGTTCTTGATCTGTGACTTCACTTTGCTAGAGCAAATCCTTGGAAGAGTGTAGGGGTGATTAGGGCTGATTGCTACCCACCAGGTATGTACTGTAATTATTTCCCGGAAGATCTGACATGGAACAGGACATGGTATCCAACAAGGGCATAATCTCTCATTCGTAACATTCGTATGGATTCGCTCCATTTGTATGCCTTGAATCAATAGTATTTCACAGTTCAATCTTATTTCTTGTTAGTATCCACATTTAGTGGTGCAATCCCCATCGTTGAAGGTTTTACCATTTTTATCAACGTTGGGAAAACAAATCCAGGTTGTTGGTCAAATCCCTCGTCAAGGTTGTTCGATCCATGGCTTCATGTTCCGTAGTAGTAAAGCTGTGTAAAGCTTTAGATCTTGGATCATGGTTCCCCAATGAGGTCGAAAAAATCCCAGAACCCATGGTTTGTCGTCATTTCTCCGCTTAAACAGGTAGCCATAAGCGGGGTATAGAACATTAGACACACCTCGTGCCTCCCGGGAGGTGGTGCTCCTCAGGTGCGGCGGCAGGGTGGAGGGCCTGGAATTGAACCAAGTAACATCCTAAAATGGGGGATCACACTATGGGTTTCAAATTGGTTTCACTATGTTTCAATAATTACTAAATAATCTAGATATGACCATCCATGACGACTGGATGATTTGGGGTACCCCGGTGACAAAACGGAAACCTCAGTCTCTTCTTTTATTTTCAGCATGTTCATTTCAGTATCTGATGGTTTGATAGTGGTACCGGCCACCCCATCATTCAAATCTATACCGCAAAGGTACTGAACATCCAACTGATACTGAATCAGCACCATCAGAATCTAAATCAAACAATGGGGTCTATGACGGTTTATGTTTTATTCATCAACCTCTTCTCAATTCACTTCCCATGGATCATTTCAATGGGAACTTCAGGATCCTAAACTGGAGCTACTGTACCATACAAAGCCATATTTTGGGATATATCCCCTTACATAGACCTTACATAGACCTTACATAGACCTTATAAATATATAGATAGACCGTAGACCTTATAAATATATAGATAGATAGATAGATGGATGGATAGATACATAGATACACATAATATATATATATACTGGTTGGTGGTTTCAAACATGTTTTATTTTCCATTTCATATATGGGATGTCATCCTTCCCATTGACGAAGTCCATGATTTTTCAAGATGGGCACATTGCACCACCAACCAGATGATGTACAGATTATTATTAACCATCATTAACCATATATTAACCATAATATAATAACCATCTCCTGAGTCATGGCCTCCTATCGATCCTGCCATGCAGGCTCAGATGCCCTCGGAGCCGTCACCGGAGCTCGCAGGCTGACCATAAAAAAAAAGGTGACGATTCGGGAAGATTTCCACGGGATACCCTCTGGTAATTTAACATAGCTATTGAAAATGGCCATTTATAGTGGATTTACCCATTGAAAATGGTGATTTTCCATAGCTATGTTAGTTTACCATAGGGTATTCATGGACTAAAAAAAGGGACATCATGTGCTGAAAAAGGGACATACCCTCTGGTTATGACTAACATAGCGAACTGGAAAGATCCACCATGCTATTAATGGGAAAATCCACTATTTCTATGGCCATTGAAAATTAAGCTACGTTAAATTACCAGAGGATATTAGAGGATATTCATGGATAGTCAGGGGATTTTCATGGATATTCAGGTGATTTTCATGGACTTTTTTGGTTGAAAAAGGCTGATGTTAGCACGAACATGTGGATCAATGGCATTGACGGGTCATGATGAATGGGAAGACATGGGATATTCATGGGATGTTTGCTCAACTCCGCTGATTGATATGAATAGAATATGAGTGGAATGTTAATATGGGATATGGAAAACATGTGGATATGGTGGATGTTACCCTCCAAAAAAACATATTCATATATAACCAGTAATAATGGGATGATTGTTTGGATATTTGATGGGAAAGTCGCAAAGCAATTTGATCCAACTTGATATGATACTTGGGTGTGTCTAAAAAGGTTGGTTACTCCCAGCTATGGCAATGCTCATGTGGATGTGTTGGTGTATAAACAGGTTCAACAATGGTTTGAGGTATACGGTATACAGTATATATATATACACCTATATATATAGACCTATATACCTATAGTTGATTATATATATTTAACTATAGTTCAATATTATATATACATACCATGGTTACCTATATACACAGTTGATGGGATTTAGAAACCAACAAACATAACTCGTGGACTCCACCGGGACTGGGTCTCATCCAAAACGTTGGTTGTTTTGAATGGAGAACCAATTGTTTGGGCCGCGTTTCGCCAATGCTCTGAAACACCCATATGTAACAATTCAGTATATATATATATATTTATGTATACAGATACAGAATTGGAGTAAATACTATATACAATTGGACCATACCCTATCAAAACCGTCAAGTTGAGGAATATTTGAGATTGTACAATATTATGAACTACAGGGTATTGCTAGAGGCTACGGAGACAGATTGCTGATGCACGTGCAGTTGTGCAAACAGTACCACAATTGCTTTGGTGCTTTGGTTGTTGCTACACAATGACAATTTGAATTTACATACGTAGAGAAGACTGTATGGAGATATCTTTTCCTAGCAGACTCGGTATGAGTCGGTTGTTGAATGAATGACCAGCCATATAGCTGGACCATCCCCAAATGAATTTGTTGGAAAACAGTGTACCCCAAAATCTCATGATCTCTCAGCAGTTTCCCCACATTTCATTGCCATTCGTACACCGTATACACCGTACAGTGTACCATTTTCGGATACACCCGTTTTTATCATGAATCACGTTGGTTTCCTATTCTCCCAGGAAATATCCATATAATTGTTCCCATAAATTACTGGTATTTACTGGTGAATTCATATCCCACTTCCCATTCATCATTAATATAATTACCATCTGGTAATTTAACAGTCCGCCATGGAAAAAATCCACCCATTCTATAGCTAGGTAAAGCATCTATTTCTATGGGCCGTCTATCCCATGGCAATGTTAGTCATAACCAGAGGGTATAGCACCATTATATCATATAATTATATCCCTATTAATCACCATTAATCACCATTAATCACCATTAATCACCATTAACCACTATAAACCAGTCATTAACCACTCATGCAGCAGCGTTGTCAGCTGAATCCACCATAAAACATGCATCCCGATGCATCCCGCGAAGCCTTTGGAAGCCAACTTGTTGAAGGGCCGAGGGGATGGATATTTTCTTTGGTGGATGTGTATATATGTGTTATATTAAAGAAAAACATATGATCATATGTTTGTTAGTATGAATATGTCACTCATATAACTCATATAGATAATATCTTTAGAGTTTTTTGTTATCCATAGATATTTTGATGTTGCCTTAATTTGACATCTGATTCAGCACGTTTGGAACTCGTTCCATACGCCTGGAACACCCGGGAAGGTTCCATACCCAATTTTGACTCACAGCCATATGTATATATATATATATACACATACACATTCATACATGTATGTGTGTATATATACTGTATATATATATATATATACAACATTATATAATAGACAAATCATATGGCTTAGGGTTGCCCTGCGGCAGGGGTCCACAAGATGTTGGAGAGAGGAAGCTCCAATATGAGTCTCAGCGGGTCCTTCAAGGTTGGAGATGGTGCTGTGGAAGGATGCGGAGCTGTTGAAAGTGGAACCCATTTTTTTCCAGTATGTTGGTTAATGATGGTTAATAATGGTGAATGGTTCATATAGTGGTTGGTGGTTAATAGTGGTTGATATAAACCCGGAGATGTTGGTTGATGGTAGTTAAATAGTGGTTAGTGGTTAGTGCATCGTAATTTGACCTTTAGGACTTTAGATACCCTTTGCTTATACACAGTCAACATTGTATCATCATAGTTTTTGAATTTGAAACATAAACATTGCTAAGAGTTCTTATCATATTAACCATTATCCATAATCATTGTACTAGTGTTTTAACAATAGTTAGTATGAACTATTAGTATCATATTAACCACAATTACTTAACCAGTAGTTAACCATTATCATATTGTATTGTCATGTTGTTAACCATTAGTGAACCATTATTTAACCATTATTAACCATCAATTATAACCATAATTATTATCATCAACCATTATAACCATATATATCATCCAGTGGATCATTGATATCCCTGGTTAAGCATATTAGTTAACCATTAACCATTGTATCTATATATTATCATATTAACCATAATAAACGAATAACCATCAAATAGTTAATTATTACCATTAACCATTATATAACCATCATATTAACCATATTAATTAGCCAAAATCATGTTAGCATTAGTTAACCAGTATCATATTGTATTATCATTAAGCAGCAAATACTATAACCATCATATATCATATTAACCAAAATTAATTCACCACAATAAGTATTATCATCATTATAAAACCATGATGAACCATATTAATTAACCAAAAAAAACATTGTGGATTATTATGATAACTATTAACCATTAACAATAGTTATAACCATTATTGAAAATGGTTAATAGTTATCATAATAATCCACAATGTGAACCATTATTAACCATTATTTCTGAAGATTAACCATAACCATTAACAATAGTTATAACCATATATATCATCTAATGGATCATTGATATCCCTGGTTAAGCATATTAGTTAACCATTAACCATTGTATCCATTATTAACCATAACCATATACCTGGTATTACCTATGAACTAACCATATTAACCATAACCATTAACAATAGTTATAACCATTATTAAGTTAATTAACCATTATTATAACCATTATTAACCATTAACTATTAACCATTGACTATCAATTAACTATTATAACCATTAATATGAAGATTAATCATTATTAACCATTATTAACCATTATTAACAATCTTTTATTGACCATTATTAACCATTAATAGTTATCATATTAATCATATTAACCATAACCAATAACATTGTTAATAAATTAACCATTAACAGTAACCATTGATGGCCATAATAGTTATTTCCATAGTTAATATTATAACCATTATGAAAACCAAATTAACCATTAACAATAGTTATACCCTCTGGTTATTAATTAACCATTATTATTATGATAACTATTAGTTATAACCATATATTATTATAACCATTGACTATTAATTAACTATTAGAACCATTATTAACCATCAAACATAGATGATAATAATGGCTAACAATGGCTAATAATGTAGTTACCGTAGTTATAACTATTCTTAACCATAACCGTCAATGAAAATCGACCAGTGAAAATCAGGGGCCCCTCGTGGCCGGAGCCGCCGGATCCACCGTGTCCACCTTGGCCGAGAGTGCGGCGGTGAGCCGCAGTGACCTGGCGATCTTCGGAGGTTTGGTGACCTTGGCCGTTGGGAAAATGGTGGTTTTTCACCATCAAAAACCATCAAAGATGTGGATTTCACCAGGAAAAATGGTGATTTAACCATCAAAAATGGTGATTTAACGATGAAAAATTGTGATTTAAACGATCAAACAGGGCGATTGAAGCAGCAAAAATGGTGATTTCGGCAACAAACAATGGTGGTTGAAGCATCAAACGTGCAGATTTGACCATCCTGATATCCTGGCGGTTCGATCATCAAAACTGCAGCTGTGTAAACTGTATAAACTGTTTCACATCCTTAAACTTACTCTCTGGTAATCAAACGTGACCAGGGAAATCACCCATATATATATATATATATATAGGTTATATATATATATATAGGTTAATATATATATATAGGTTAATATATATATATAGGTTAATATATATATATATATATATAGGTTAATATATATATATTATGATTTTCCCATTGAAAGCTCCATTTGGAAACGATTTCCCAGCCAGGTTTGATTACCAGAGGCTATTTTTTCCAAAGCTCAACCATGTCTGAATCATTTCAAAGGTCAACCATTTACCCTCTGGTAAACTAACATAACTATGGAAATCACCATGTTTAATGGGAAAATCCACTATAAATGGTCATTTTCAATAGCTATGTTAAATTGCCAGAGGGTAACAATTGTGAATCACAAAAAAACCTCTATCAATCATACGCCATTATTTTTTCGCCATCAACCAACTGGCCATCAACTAAAATTTCCATTATGAACCATCAATCATTCACCCTTGACCACTCTCTGATCCATTGAATCCTAGGCATGAGCAAAGCGCTGCGTTCCAACTCCCGACCCTTGAGTCGTGGGCAGCAAGCGCCGGTCCGTCGCACGGAGCAGCGTTAGGCCGGGCCGGAAATGCCAAGAAATATTCACTTAATTTCACTTATATAGCCAAACAGAATGGGGATATGATGGGGATACAACCAACACTATGAATGATTTAGTTCTGTTTGAAAATCGTGGATGAAACCTTCCATGCCAATTATAGAGGATTTAGCTCTTAACAATGATTATGATAATGGGAATTAAGGATATGTAATGGGATGTAATGGGATATAATAGGATTTAATGGGATATATCATCAACTTGATATGATATTTGGGTAAACCTTCCTTAAATGGCCATTTGTATGTCGGGAAAATGATCTAATTTTCATCGATTTGGGGATTTGGCCTATTTTAGACACATCCATTTGATGATTGAACAACATGTTTTTTTCCTGCAGATTAAAGAATTTGGAGGTTTCCTGGAGCATTTTAGTACTGAAACCATGGTGACTTGGAGATCCCTCCATAGATCATTTTGAGCAAAACCAGTTTTATGGATGACCAGAGATTCTGAGAAACATCTACAAACATCAAACTAGCAACCCCCAAAAAGATAGAACCGTCATACTATTTTAGGATTGATTTTTATTAACTTCTATCTTTTCAATGGTTCAAACCCTACAAAGATGATGAACTGTGATGTGGGGCTCACACAGCAACTTCAGGTGTGCAATTGACATCCAATGACTCGTGACTCGGCGTGAGTCGCATGGCCGGGCTTTTGCTGGGCATCAGACCGACTGGTGGGCGACTGAGCAATACGGCATACGGATCCATATGGTGCTTACCGACTGAAAGCTGGAAGTAGAGCATAGAATGAATGACAAATAACCCATATTGTTGGGGGTTGAGAATGATTATATAATCGTTGTTGATGATATAATCGGTGTTTATAATGATTATATCATTATATCAATCATTATATTATCAATCGTCATCATATAATATTCAGAATTACATAAGCTACGAAGTAACAGATGATTGGCTTCCCCATGTGGATGCCAAGAGATGGCAATTGGATACAGCTGCTTGAAGCCACCGTTTTTCGAACGAATCAATGACGTCTTCCTTCTGAAGCCCCGTCAGCATATATATATATATACATATATATATATATATATGTATACATATATATATATGGATGCAAATATATATATAGATACATATATATATATATATGGATACATATATATATATATACAATCCAAGTCAGAGGCACGGCTTGAACTGCAACCTGGACCCTCCAATGCCTTGATATGATCAACATGTGTTCGCAATCTCTGCCGGCCTTCCACCAGTGTTTTGAAGCAATTTTGCGCGAAGTGAACCCATTTTGCATGCCTGATGCAAATTGCATTGCAGGTATCGCAAAAGCCGCAAGATGCAGAGACTTAGTCTAAGGCAATTCACCAATAGCTATGGTTTGGCGATGGTGTGAAACGACCACAGCAGTTTTGGAGGTTTCTGATTTTCTCCCCCTGTCCTCAGGTCATTTTGAGTAGTGTTCAAGATTCAAGACCCCGGTTGATGATTAGTTGGGGATTTTACTAACCAATTTATGGGGAATATATATCACAATCCATGAGAAATCCTTACAGTATCATTTGCCTTTATACTACTAAAAATATACGGGGAATATCAACATCCTTATCAATTATCATTTGTCTTCGGAGATGCGCGCAAACGATTCGTCTTTTGCCAGCTGTATCTTTTAATTGGCAGCCATGCTGCTGGTGATTGGCAAGCCACGGGCAAACTCAATTTGGGAAGTGGCAACCAAGACAGTCCTTTCCAACAAAACAAATGGGAAGGATGGATTCTGATATATTTATGCATATAACATAGTATATATATAATGTTTATAATATATATATATATATTATTAGTCATATACATATAATCATATACATATACATATATATATAATATATATATATATATTATTTATGTGTATATATATATATACATAATAATAATGATAATAATAAGAGTAATAATAATAGATAATAATAGTAATTATAATATATATATACATGATATACATACATATCTGACCATTTTACCCAATTCTTGGGCATTGCTGCAACGAGTTTCACTGGTTCAAGGTTACTTTATCATATCTTTTGGATAGAATATGTGTTGCCTGCTATCCACCCAAGAGTTTCTGCAAGAACTAAAACATATCATTCCTATTCATTCCTCACCTATCACATCTGTCGGAATAACATGATTGTATATATGGCCTATATATGGCCTTACTTCTTCCAAATCAACCTCAAGGCTTCAAGGGCTGGGCCTCATTCGACGCCAAGTTTCATACCATCAATGATCGCAGCCCCAAGCTGCATTGTGCCCTGGTGCCCTTGATCCCAGGTTCATCACTTAACGGACAAAGCTTTGGGAAATCAAAAATCTTTGAGCACACATATCCAGGAACTAAAGGAGAAAAACGAAGCTAAAATGGCTGTAATTTCAAGAAAACAGCTATAGGTATTTATCAAGGTTGGACATGGACGTCTTTTTGCTAGGGCAGAAAGAAGCAAGACTTTGGGTGTGGTGCAATGATGGCCACCATGTATCTGGTATCTTCTTGGGAAAAAACCTGCCCACGTCGACACGAGTTTTCCGATGTGAGTTGATTGTGGAGTATGTAAGAGCCCATGAGCAGAAATGCGGTAAACCCGACCATCAACATCCAATTAGGAACGGTTTCAATCATTTCCCTCCCACTCATTCCATTGGGATGTTTTTGGTTCGTCCTGGCTTTACCACATAGCATGGCATCGCAATCGCCGGCTGCAAGTGCTGAGATGTGCTGACCGCGGAAGCAACGGTTAGTTCACAGTAGGCCCAAAAAAGGCCCAGACGAGTCTCACTGGATGCGTTCTATCGGATGCCTAAGATGCTTCCACACCGTCGAAACATGTTGAAATAATGAGAATTCACTGTGCGTGGCGTGACCGAGAAAAACAGCTGAATCCTGAGGGGGGTGATGCCTCCGAGCAGTTCCCAAATATGTTTATCAATCTCAACCAACAAAAAAAATGGTTTCTGCAGGGTGTAAACGATACAATTATAACATGTTATAGCCCTTAACAAGTATAACCGGCTGATAATAACTCATTTATATAAGTGATATATGATCTTAGTTGCAGGAGTTGTAATCCCATTTAAGGTCCTGTTAAGACAAACCAGGCGACGATGTAAATTCCAGCAGTTCTATCTATGTCGATGCTTTTCCCATATGATTTCCCATTTTTTTCCAGGTAATGATTATTTCATGGCTAAATCGGCTAAATTAATATGATGATCATCCGCAATTCCTTCAATCTCCATGTGTGTGCTTTAAATCCAACATGTTTGCTGGGCAAATTCTTGGGATCCATAGTTTTTTTTTAAGCCCTGGCAGCCGGCACAGGTGCTTGGCGGCACCTACACGGGGACCATTGCCAGCTACAACATCAAGTTTGGCCGGCCTCCCAAGCAGAATGGGCTGGGGAGATTTTCTTGTGGGTCAGCTACTGGTGATGCTCATGCTTTGTCAATACTTCTTTATGTCGCGATAGATGTGGAAATACGGGAATCAAGGAACATGTGCCAACCGGCCAAAAGCGACGCAACGTACTTGTATTCAAGATTGGCCCTGTTGTGGTGAAGCGAGCATTAGAAACCAATTCCCCCAAAGAGATCCAAAGAGGGTGTATGGCATTGGCCACACCACACTAATTACATTGGAGTAGCTGACCACAGTTCAGAGTCATTCTTGCGACTTTTTGAGACATGTTTAGCATTTGTCGGCTGTGACGCCAAAGCAACATGTGAGGATTGAAGCCTTATCAACTCACATAATTCACCATAGTAGTATATTTTTTTGGTATACTCTGAATGACCGAAGAATTTATTCGCTGTAGGACCATTCTCAGGTCTGGTGTTTGGCCCATACTTCATCCAAACTTCCATTGTTTTAAATAATTTAACGGGGGTTGCCACTACGGAATGGCATCCATGTTTCAAAGGATCGATTGATGTATCCGTTAAGCCGGCCACCGGCCGGCTTGCAGGAACATACCCATACCAGACAGACATATCCTTAACTCAATATCTATGTGTATAGTATGAATACAATTGATGACAATTGAACATAGATACATTATATATGCACATAGTGTATATATATAGTATGTATATATATATACATAGTATATATATATATACATATAGTATATATATACACATACTGCGCTCAACAAGCCTGGACCTGGTTGCCGTTGCGTTGCCGCTGCAGGCTGGGGCTTTATTTCACCCGACAACACAGAGGACAGCCATGACGGAAGCCTCAAGATGGCTGAACATATGGACGTTTCAGAAGCAAACGATCGGATATACAACATAGATATAATATGATATAATAGTGCACTGTATGTAAATGTATGTAATATTTTGTCTATTATATTATACAATATAGATGTTGTGGTAGACTTGCTGTATGATGATAATTATGATATATACTACTCTATATTTCCATGATGTAATATAGTATGATATGACATACTGTGTCACGATTGAATGGAAGACAATAGAATCGCTTTTAATATATAGCTTTTAATACATACATAGCCTCTGGTAAATAAACATAGACCCTGAAAATAACCAATTTTTAATGGAAACTAGTCTTCTAACCCCTATCTACCAGGGTCTATGTTAATTTACCAGAGGGTAGTCGAGAAAAAAAGGTGCTGGTGTTGAGTATCGTTGTAGTCGTCGCAGGAGCTTCCGGAACAGGCGCAGATGAAGATCTTAGAGGCGCCAATGGCCATGATCCCATCGCATAGATGGACTTTCCAATGGCAGGGTTTCCGGTGTATGGCTTGGATGTTTAACTGGCTACCCTCTGGTGAACTAACATAGCAATGGAAAATGGCCATTGAAATAGCGGATTTTCCCATGAAAAATGGTGATTTTCCATTGCTATGTTAGTTCACCAGAGGGTATGCCTCATATTTCATACAGGTGTTGAACTTGTTTATTGTTGTGTGAGTGAGTTCCGTAACCTACTTTTTCTGTGTGTTATTTGGTATAGTAGAGGATCGATGAGTTGATTTGATGAGGCCTTGTAAAATTGATCACTTGATTTAGCTCTCTGCAGTGCAGCTGCGCATCCCATACGCCACCCTTTCTTGACCCATTGGTAATATCTTACTGTATATCTTTGGTAGATACCTGAAATGAACATAAACTGCAGATTTAAATCTCTGCTTTTCAGTTGAACATGGACCAAGTTCGGCACTTTCAACGATGCATTGCTTTGCAAATCTTTGCAACCTCAAATCTTTGTATTCAGGTGGATGGTGGGTACTTCAATGTCAACCACCCGTGAATGTTTACCCTGGTTTGTCGATTGGTATCGTGCTTTGGTTTTTATATCCAGATGATGCTAGTCATGATACCTTTTCTTAGCTGCACGTGTTGAAGCCACCAAACATATTATCCCAGATTTGTTTGAAGGGAAAGAAACCATCGTTGTTGGCTGAATCTACATTTATATACATGTTTGTTGGTTTCTTAAATCTCCATTTTTGCTGCTTTAATTCCGTTGTTCACGGCTAAATCATAAATATTGATGAATAAATCATGTTAAATCCCCATGTTTGTTCTATATAAATCCCTATTTTCTGTTTTTTCATGGTCAAACCTAAATTATTTGTACATATTATAACGTTTTTCTTGCTTCCAATCCTCGACTCCGGCGTGAACCTTGCGAATCA